TTTTTTAATTTTTGATGAAATGTTAATTGAATAAAATTCTATCTCTCTCGGGTCACCATCACGCAAATTAATTTTAGTCAGTGCATGAAATGCCGGTATTCTCCAGAATATCTATTCGTCTTTAAGGAAAATTTAAAATATGAAAATTAGTATATATTATATTATATTATATTATATTATATTATATTACATTACATTACATTACATTGCANTATATTATTTAAGGTTATGAAAAATTGTTCTATAGAATCACTATATACTTTGCTATATTATATTATATGTTCTATATTAATCATTCTGTAGGTTTCCTACGCATTGTGTGAAATATTAATTGTTTCATAGTTTGCCGATCGATTTTAAGTATTTTATAGACGGCCGTACTTTATATATTGATGGCAATTTGTAAAAACAGCAAAATCTGGAAAACTATTATTAAGTAATATTCCTTTTCTTTAAGGTATTTATTATTGAAATATCTTCTACCATATAGTTTATAAAGTAAACATATTACATAAAGTTTAAAAAAAATTAAATACATTTTTTACATGGTAAAATGGAATAACAAGAAAATAATTTGATTTTTGGCAAACCTAAAACGTAAACATGGGACGCATTATATTCGAAATGTGTGGGTGGAAATTTCGGTGGTAATAGAAATTTAATACAAATGTGATGCCCCTTTTTTTTATCGAGACAAGAACAGTTTTTTTTCGCTTCCCTTTTAGTCCCCTTGAAAAGCATAGTTTTAAAAGTATTCAATTTTTGTGTCTGTTTATTTTCATCGGAAAGTGGTTGAAATTTTGTTTGACGATAAATTGTATTAGAATATAAATACTGTTTCTAACAGTTGGCGATAAATTGTACTGTTTGGTGTTGAATAACCGTTTGGCGAGATTGTATGGCGCCAGCCATCTTTCATCATAATGTAAGCCTTGAACTACTCACTCTTGTTCTTGTTGATTGAACTGTTAAGAGCGTATGGTCGCTCTCTAATGTAAGTTCATGCGTGAACTAATTAATTACATTTGTTAAATAAATAGTATTTGTTAATTATTATATACAGTTCATTACCTTAAATTTTAACTATTGAGCTATCACGGAACCGTACATGTTCAAATGAAAAAATAGTGATAAAATTTGCTTACATAGTCAGGATATGATCGAGACATGTATTGTGATTAGTTCTAGATAAAATTTGAACATTAGCTTGTGGGAAACTTGATAAGCTGCAAATTCACTTAAGCGAAAATATAGCATCATCTAATACTACACTTCCCTCATGTGAAAAGGGTTTTATTTTTTGAAAAACATTACATATTTACCAAAATGAGTTTTAAAATAAACATATTTTCTCTCCAAAAAAATTTTTAACTTATCAAATGTACCAGCTTTTGTTAGGAAATCTGAAATATTGTCATCCGTATTATGCTACACTGTCCTTAAAATTTTATTATTAATCATATCTCTAACAAAATGAAATTTTAAATTTACATGTCTAGTTTTATTTGATGATTTGCCATTATTTAACCAATCAATGGATGATTGACTATCAAAATAAATAACAGTTGGAATGTTAATGAAATTTTTACAATTAATTTCACTTAACATATTTATGACCCATTTTAATTATCTTGCTGCTTCAGAAACAGCAAATAGTTCTGCTTCACATGTTGAGAATCCAACAACTCTTTGTTTTCTACTCATCCACATTAGAGAATTACCTAATATAATTACACTTCCTGTAACAGATTTACCTCCATCGCTATTTCCCCAGCTTGCATCTACACTACTGTTTACAATTCTAAATTCTTTATCATAAAACAAAATTTTATCTTTTGAACTGTTTAAGCATTTAAAACCTTTTTAGCCAAAACGTAATGCCTTTCTCAGAAAGTTTATTAAATTATGATAAGTAACTAGTTACAAAAGAAATATCGGGACGAGTCCTGTTTGCCAAACATATAAGTTCATCGATAATTTCCTGATAATCTGTCTGATTGACTAAATCATCTGTTGGATACAAACATCTATCTTCACCTTTGGTTATAGGAAGATTAGTTTTTTTTTTAAATTTTACTAGATTATATTTGTTAATTAATGATACAATATACTGGGATAAACCATTTCCGTTTTCTTGTTTCGAAACTTCTATACCTAAAAATTTAGAATTTTCAGTAGTTTCATTTAATTCAAATGATTATTCAAGTTTAAAGATTATATTCTCGCATAACTTTGAATTGTTAGAAAATCGCCATTTGAATTGTTAGTTATGAATTGTTAGAAAGTCATCAACGTAAGCGCAAATAGCCAAAAAATCGGTTTAGTCAATTTTAGTTAATACAAAATTACCAGATGCAAGTTGGTTGAGGCCAATATTTTTCAGTTCATTTTTTTAGTTTAAAATTCCAATTTCTACCTTTGTTCTTATCACACACTTCGATATATCCAAAAAAAGTATTGCCAAGTGCAAAATTTTTGCCAAATAAATAAATAAATTAACAATATACCAAAAATAAGTAAATAAATAATAAAAAAGTTTAATAAAATTAAATTTATTACAAGACTTCAGATGTTTACGTTATTTTACTACTGTTATTTTACTTCTGTTATTTTATTACGTATTTTACTTTACGTTATTCATACAGATGATTTGTTGCTTTAAATTATAAAACTCGTAGTTTTGCAATTTTGAGCAGAACAGGGTAATTCTTTGGTAAAACTTTAGGACTAATTCGCTTTCATGAAGGACATCAGAATTTGAACTAGATCACATTTGCTTTACATTAGAAGGGAAAAAAACATTTCACGGTTAGCCCGACAACAAGATTACTCTCACCCATGACAGGATCCCTCTACGTTTGGTGGTAATGCATGTCGGAACCGTTGCCAGTGCAAACCGAGATAGCAACAGAGAGCAGTTACCAATTAATATGGGAATTCACTCTTCTCTCTTCACAAGTCTCGTCTTTGGAAATTGAACGATAAATCACTTATCATATAAGCCATATCTGCTCTAGAATATTTATTATTTAAGTTGTGAAAATAATGGGAAATTGAAAATGTAGTATTTTAAATTTTGATACAATGTAAGCTTACTATTACTATATGCCAATCGAAGGAGTTGCTGAGCAGTTCTGCCATTCCTGCAGTTCACAATTTTTGAGAAAGTAGTGCTTATAATAATGCAAAAAACAAACAGATAAATGAATAAAATTCTGAGTAAAAAATAAAATCTTATTTTGTAAGTTTTTTTTTAAACATTTAATCGACAGGAAGATGAACTTTTCCGACGAGACCAGAGATTACAATCGTAATTTGCATCCAATTTTTAAATAATGATTTTTTTTTTAAATTGATATTTAAATTTTTTTTTTTTACCGATAAGTAGAAAAATTATTTCTGATGGTGTAGAGCACACGCGTTTTTAACTAAAGAATAATTGAGAATAACTCCTTATTACAGCTTCCTGTATAAACTATGGATCAAGTTATCCATATCTCATCTATGTAAAAGCTAGGGCGTATGTCTAATGAACGGCTTTTAAACTTCTACTGAATCTTTCTTGGATCAAATATGGATGTCTTGTGGACGTACACCTGGCGACCATAGGAACCCTCGTGGATGTTTGTGATGACGTTTATGGACATCCACTGAATTATTTTGTGCTATATGGGAAGAATGGTTTGCATTACTTAGCTTTAGATAAATATATATGTAAGCTAAATAAATACTAAATTAATTGGTACTAATGATATATTTATATTATCTAAATTAATTAAAGAAAACTCAATAAAATTTTAGCAGCATTAATTCAATTAGAATTGGCGATCGCAACGTTCTAATATATTAGATATATATGTTTCGTATATATAACATATATGTTTCGCTCTGTATGTATGTTATAGACCGGTTTCATCCCCTCCGCATAGGATCAAAATTGTGATGGCATGTCTTCGGATCATCCTCCGGGATGTTTCCCAGACCATCGCCAATAGCCCATTGTGCAGCTTTAGTGCGACGTAAATTAACAACAACAATAACAACAACAAGACCGGTTTCATGCCTTTGGCCCTTCTTCCTTCCCTCTCCTCCTCTTTTCAGTTATATAGGAATGTACTACGATATTTTCCATTTTCTGAATATTTTTCCTTTTTATTTAATAAAAATATTTTTTAAAATTTCCGTGATGCTTTTCTTTAAAACTATGTTTAATGTAAATTTGAGTTTCATGTAGTTTTCCAGTCTAAAAGATTTTAATCTATATAAAAATCAAGAGAGAAACTAACGTACTTCCGACCTCTGTGACTCTCCACACGCTAATGGGGAAAGAATGCGAAGTGTTGCCATAGGTAGAGAGTTCTGCTTTACGCCACCTGCAGCCCATTTCGATCTTCAATTTACAAGAACTTCGAAAAACTTATTGCTAGGTCCCGCAGGGAACTGATCGTTAAGACGCGGTTCCCACAGCAGATCACCGAAGTCAAGCATCACTGGCTGCTGTCAGTGTGCGGGTGGGAGACCACTTGGATCAGTCTGCGTAAGGACTGAGGGTGTGCGGTATTGGTTCTCGTTAAACTGTACTACCGTAAAGTGCTCAACTTCGCGCGCAGGTCGTCGGGCTACCGAAGCGGGGGTGCCATCACCTCCGCAGAGTATCAAAATTGTGATGACATGTCTTCGGATCATCCTCCGAGATGTTTCTCAGACTATCGCCAGTAGCCCATTGTGCAGCTCTAGTGCGACGTAAATTAACAACAACAACAACTTATTGACAGTTTTTTTTTTAAATAGGTATGAAAATGAAATAAATTTTTTTTAATAATTTACATTCTGACATTTCAGTGATTACGGTGAGCATTTGCAGTCCTTTTTTAGTAAGTATGACTCTTATATTCGGAGATGTGTGACTGGTGAAACATATTTCCCGCGAAACATTCACCAATCAGGCTCTCTTTCGCATATTGGAATCCTCAATTGTTTTGCTTGCAGCAAGAATAGCCCTTTAAATAAATGTAAATTCACTGAATATCTTTGAGCAGCAAGCATGTTGGAAAGTTGTCAGAAAGCTTGCTGCCTCTTTCAATCATATCAATTAATCAATCTACAAATCAAAACAAAACATTCCTCGTGTGCTGGTGCTGTAGAAAATTTGTCTAAGGTAGGTAAAGTTGCAATCTTTTCTGAAATATGTGTGTTTGTAACTATTAGAAGTAATGAAAAAATTAAAAGTTATTATTTTTTTTATCTAGTACTCATTTTTTTAAACATTTATTGAAAGTTGTTGTTGGGATATTTTTTTTAAATATTTTTATTCCCTTTTAAGATTAATTAAAGTATATGACAATCATTGATTATGTTGGTCCTATTTACATGTAATTAAATTTTAGGATGACAGAAATGGACGTTGATGACCGTTTCATTTTGGTTCAGTTTAAAAATGAAGCCGGTGAAATTACTGGTACACCACTTGATCTTCCACTTAGTACCGATGTCAAGAAACTCTCTTTAATTTGTAATTCTCTCCTTCAGAAGGTATGTGGCATAATTTGTTTATTATCAGTGCAGGTAAAATTATTTCTTTACAGTTCTTTATTGAATTATGAGAACACGTCAAAAATTTTGACACATTTGTGTACTAATTTCAGTATATATTATTTCATTATTATAGTATCTATTGATATCAGTATTTTTTATTATTAAGACTGAGTTGCATATCTGACTTATTTTGTAGGGAAGAATTTCGTATAGTGGTCTGTGGCAGAATTATTGCCAAGTCTTGGTAACTTCTGCGCAATGGCCCGCGAGAATTTAAAAAAAAAAATCACAGAAGGGGATCAACTCAAAGAGTGTAACTCGTGACCACCCGTAAGCAGGGGATATTTCCGTATTGTGATCTGTCGCACCAACTATAATCGCCACGGTGCCAAATAGCAACTTGCAATTTTTTAAAGAAATAACATGTGGATGTGTGCCCAAGGGTGGCTACGAGTAATACCTTTCGAGTTGGTCCCTTTCTGTAATTTTTTTTTTTTAGTTTCTCGCGGGCCACTGCCTGGAAGTTCCCAAGATTGGCGTTTATTCTGCCACAGATCACAATATGGACATCTCCCCCCCTTTAACNATCTCCCCCCCCCCAAGCAAACCTCTACGTGTTTAAAATTAATTTTCTACGTGTTTAAAATTAATCTACAAGTTTAAATTTAATTTCTCGATTGTAGTTGGCATGACGGATAACAATACAGTAATATCTCCATTTTTTGGATTCCCTTTGTATGTTCTACTAGAACCAAGTAGTGTTAATAATATTTTGAAATATAATAAGCACTTTTCTACTTTTTAATAAACAAGAGTTAAGATTATACTGTATAAAAATGAGGCTAACACAACGAGAAATGGGGTGTTTAAATGATGGCATAAATGGACACTTGATTATTGTGGTTAATGAAGCAGTTAGGAGGAGGAAAACAGAGATCAATTGTGTAAGGATGCAAAAGAGCTACGCAAAAAATATAAAAGCTGTATACGATTTGATGTAATGCTCCCATTAAAATTGCACACATTAAAATTAAAGTTTAATGACCAGATTCATGAGTTCAAATTAAATATTACTCAATGTTCATTTTAAAGTAATTAGATATTTTTTTTCAAAACTTTAATTAACATACAATAGTTAATTTTTTACTGAAATTATATACAGTCATTAATTTTCTACTAAAACTAAAATTAGAACATTTTATATTTTTGAACTATTTAGTTCTAAGAATTTTACTTAATCATATACAGATAATAAATAAAATGTATACTTACTTTCCCAAAAAGTGAATTTTTAGCTATATTGAAATGAAATAATAAATTAATTTTCTTAATTTTGCCTTATTAAATTCATGTTTGATGGAAATTGTAATGTTGAAATTAAGGTATTATAATAGATATAAAAGATAAAAATGATAAAATTTGACATGTTGTTTTCTATGAATTTCAAAATATTAATGTATTTTTAAAAATGTATGTTTGTGTTCAAATTAAATTATGTTATAATTTCAGTGTTAGGAACTCAATTCAAGTTAATTGTTTTATTTATATAGTTTCTAAAGCAAACTTCCCCACTTTATGTTTCAGTTTTGTAATGAAAGCTTTTTTTCATTTTTCCCTGCTTTCTTTCATTATATGTTTTAATTCCTACTGAAGATGCAAAATGTTGATGTATATGCTTTAAAGTGATTTTTGCTCTTATGTTATTTTAGCTTCTTAATCATACTACTTTTTGAAGAATAAAAATTGTAATTAGTTTTTAAATACAATCAACATTTTTTAAAGACATTAATAATCTACTTTTATCTTTTAGGAAGAGTCTTCTCCATTTTTGTTTTTTATAAATGATGTCCAAATTAAAGATTCCCTGCAAAGTTGTCATGATAACAAAGTATTTGAAACTGAGAAGACTTTAGAAATTACTTATGCTGAACAGTCTGTGTTTAAAGTTCGTCCAGTGACACGCTGTACTAGTTCAATACCAGGGCATGCTGAAGCTGTTATCTCTGCATCATTTAGTCCTGATGGCAGGTAGAATGCATCATAAACTTATGAATATATTATCACTTCAAATTTTTAAGTTGTTATAACATTTATAAACTGACATTTATTACAGTGAAAAACTCATATTTAAGTAATGGCTCCTGAAACTGCTTTTCTTATTAAATCTTCTAATCATAAAATTAAAAAAAAAAAATATTTATGATATATGATTTGTTTTGAATCTAATTTTCAACAGCCGAAAATCTTTTTTTTTCATTATATTTAGTTTTTGTTAAAATAACTTTCTCTAAATTTTTGCTAGTTGATGAGATTTTAGCGAGTTGATATATAATTGTTATTAAAGCAGTTAAAAGTTCATTGTATTTAAAATCACTGACCTAATTAAAATAAAAATAAATAAGTTGGACTTTATTAGTTTTGTTTCCTTATCCTCTATAACCTCAAGATTAACTTGTAATATTAAAACTGAATGGCAGTGCTATTGCAAAACTTCATAATAAAACTCAGTGATGATTTCTCAGCATTTTTAATGGTGTTTTTTACTATGTATCCACCTTTTATTATGTTTGTTAATTTTTTTAAAAACTCAGTTGGTTGTTTTTTACGAAATAATTTATTTTCTTTCTTAATATTTGAATGCTCATAATATTTGTTTATTTTAGATATTTAGCTAGTGGATCGGGAGATACAACAGTTAGACTATGGGATGTGAATACAGAAACTCCACAATACACTTGTAAAGGTGAATAAAGTTTTTAGTTATGTATACTTTCAAATGACGGGAAAAATATATATATACATCAACTAGCATTCTAAAATATATTATTACTTCTAAGCGTATATGTATAATATTCACATGGGGTTCGTAAAAAGCTTGAAATTATCATGGAAAATTTTATAATATTACTCATATATTTAAAAAAAAAAAAAAAGGAATCAAAGTTGTATCCTCGAAAATGTAATGGACAACAAGAAATTTTATAAAAATATTTATTAAATACTTCCGAGTTACTTATTTTAATTACATGCAAAGAAAACCGAGTATAAAGTCAATAATTAGTTTTATATTGTTGAAAAACTTCTAAATTTTAAGAAATAAGTGCTGCAATGTGTAATAATCAATGCTGAGTTTTAAAAAAATTAGTCATTTTTGAGCAAATTTTGTTAAGTTGATAATAGGGTTGAAGTTAATTCTTCTAGTCAATATTCATTATTCAATAGTCAATATTCATTAAATTTCTTACAGAAAGTTTTGAAAGTGAGAATTTGTTTTAATGATTTTTGAGAAAATTTTTTCAAAATTGCTTGATGATAGAGTTGAAATTATTTTCAATAGTCATTAAATTTCTTTCAGAAATTTTGATATTGAGAATTCGTGTTTGCGGAAAGTTTTTCATTTTATTGAAATCTGCTTTCGCATGTTTTTTACTTTGATTTTATTGCTCATCAAGCGTAGAGCTTAAGAAAATTTAGCCCCTGATCCACAGATTTGTAACTATACCTTGTTTTGATATGATTAATTATGAAAATATGATTAATACTGTAAATGAAAAATTACAATACAAAGAAAGTGTAATGTTTGAAAGTGTAATTTGATGATATATGCTATATTTTGACAATAAAATTGATGAAAACAGAACTGAAAATCAGAAAACCAAAATAACATACCATTCTTTTACATCAATTGCTGGTTCAGGTGGCTCCTGATAGTTATTTTATGGTAGTCTGAGTCAAATTTTAGTGATCTCGAACCAACACATTACTGTTGATTTTGAGTTTTGTTCATTTTTATTAAATCCAGTACCGTCACTTTAAATACTAATCTTTAGAGCGTTTTTAAGAAAACAAAATATTAAAATAACTAAAGTGAGTTAAAGATTAAGCCTGTTGTCGGAAAGTAATGAAATATTCCCATTATAATGTATTTACAATCATTGCACTTATTACAATCAAGTGTTGCAATTTATTTACAGCTCACAAGCATTGGGTTTTGTGTATAGCTTGGTCACCCGATGGCATGAAATTGGCTTCTGGATGTAAAAATTGCCAGGTAAGTAAAATAGTATTTTTTAAAAGGGAAATTCGCTTGTTTAAGGTATTTCATTATAAACTTTTGAGATAAATAAATTTATTTATTATTTTCTGCAACAAAATTTATTTATTAGTATTTAGAGAGTTTTCCTATTTTCAATTAAGCACTTCTATCATTAGTGAGAATACTATCTGTATATTAATGTTTCATATTTATTGGAACTCATATTATATAGATATTCTAATTAAATTTGTATGCATTTAGATGTCCAATATTACTAAAAAATATCAATATCATTATTCAGAAATAAGATAATCATTGCCATTTCTTTCATTATCAATTCCTTTTTGATTATTTTCACACAATAAATGATTGTTAATTTAAGATGATTAATATTTTAAGCAATTTTGTTACCAAGTTACCAACTTTTATCTAATTTTTTTAAAAAAAATAACATGACATTAATTTAATTTCCATACCTCAGAATTCATAAATCTTATTTTCAGGTCTGTATTTGGGATCCTAAAACTGGTAAACAAATGGGCAGAACATTAATGGGACATAAAGGCTGGATATCTCATATTTCTTGGGAACCTCTTCATAGGCAAGACAATTTTCTTTACTCTCTGTAATGTAATTTTAATTACATGTAATTAGATTGCTTTATTTAAATTATTAATTAAATAATTCTATATTGAAATAGTTCAGAGAACTATTAAATAGTGAAATAGTTCTATTTTATGCTTAGCAGTACAATTTGTGAGTATTTGTAATCTTTTTGTTATTTACAATTGATTCAATCAATGAATTTAAGCCATTGGTGGACCCCCAAAACTCTGATTTGTAAACATGTTAGCTAATTTCTAATTTTTGTCATTCACATTACCTAGGTATTGAAAATTCAATAATATTATCAATATTATATGTGCAAATAAAGTAAAAGATTTGAAACTCATTGATGTATACTGTCTTGTTATTCAAAATTGTATTTTAAATGTTCAATTTATGCACCGTGTTGTAGTAAGACCTGATTCTTACTTGATTTATTCCTATTATATCAAAATATTTTAATTCAAGTTTTTATTTTTAATTAAAAGAAATATATATATATTGTATTGAGGGAAAAATAATATTTTTAATGACTCTAGTTTTAAATTATGAGCAATAATCTTCATATTTGCTTATAACTATGTGAATTTTTTATAATTAACTTTTGTTTAAGACCAAGCTAAAGATTATCCTGTTTACATGTATATTTTGTAATACATGTGTTTTTGGATGCGAGTATATCCTTAAAATTGTTATAGTTTCTTTATTTACTTTGTGGAAAGCAGAACATCAAAACATAGTTTTTTTTTTAATGTTTTGAAATCAATTTTCAGTGTGGGCCTCTTTTCTCTGGAAATCTGGGAAAACTACAATGTGAAAATTCTTGGAGTATTATCCATATAATGATGACACGCCACTTTAACATGCATTCCAATAATTTACTAGGCATTAAAATTCAATGAATCATCCCAAAAATAAAATGAAGAGTTTTTCTGTGTGTGCATCTCTCTATAACGCCAGAACTGTTTGCACTAGCTAGCGACCTGAAATTTGGACAGTAGTGAAAGGGCAGGGTGCGTAGCATTTTTAAAAAGTGCTTATGTTCGATTTTCGTTTTTTAAAAGCCCTTAAAGGTGCTTTTTTCATTGCATGTTTTTAAAAAGTGCTTAATTTCATTTTTTTCAAAATAAGATATTTTCTTTACTGTGTTGATTTTCGCTTCGAATTATGCAAAAAGAAGCAGTTCGCATTGTTCTATTCAACGTTTTCATAATTAATTCAGCCCTAATCTATTTCGGCTTATTGTCACTCTGTAGCGTATGAAAACGCTATTCGTTTTACGTGATTCAAAATTTCATGATTTTTGACAATTGCCAAAAATGCCAATTTTATCAAAAACAATTATTTTTGACATGACAGTTAAAACAAGATAAAACCGTCAATTGTCAAAAACTTTTCAACCTTGCCTAATTATGATATATTTTAAATATTTTTTGAGTGCTTGAAAAGGGCTTAAAAGGTGCTTATTTTTTGTTGAATAATTTGGCTATGCACCCTGAAGGGGCAATTCATGAGAGATGTGAAGAAAAATGAGTTTTTCATTTGTTTTAAACTAGCCATTGGTAAAAGATTAAACTGCTGACAATTTTTTCCCCTTTGTATATTGTAAAGATTGCAAACTCTTTATGAAATCAAAAAAATTTAGTAAATAAGGACTTTTGTTTTTTATAGTCCACATTTAGGTGAAATAAGAATAACAATTTTAATTATACTAAGAATTTCAATAGCTATGTTCAAAGTAACTAACTTGAATGTTTAATTTTTATATGATATTAATTTTAAATTATTAGGTTAGGAATGATTGTGAAGCTAAAATATTTCAAGTTTTTAAATTTTCTGTTTTTAGAAATGCAGCATGTCGACGTCTAGCAAGTGCTTCTAAGGATTGTACTGTAAGAATATGGGACATAATCACGGGTCAAACGTTACACACACTGTGCTCACATACAGCTCAAGTAACATGTGTGAGATGGGGAGGATCTGGATTAATTTATACTTCTTCTCAAGATCGTTCTATAAAAGTTTTTAGGGCTGATGATGTAAGAATATTCATTATATTATGTACAGTTGTGTGTCTTAAAATTATTGTGCCTCCTTAGAGTTAATATTTAGATTAATTACTTACATTTAGTCTTTAATTTAACAGTCTAATTTTAGTCAAGTTTATATAGATATTATCAGATCCATAATATGATTGATAAAAAATTTTATTATTATAAAATTGTTTCTTTATTTTACTGGACAAAAATCTTTTCTCATGAAAAATTTCTTTTTATACTTTAACTATAACTCCTTACCTCTATAATTCATTATGATACTGATTTTCTTGAAATATATTGTAACTGTAATGAAATTTTGAAAAAAAGCATATCTGAAATTTTTTGTGTGTGATGCTCTGAATTTTCAATTAACATATAATTTTTCAGAATCTTTATTAGGCCTAAGAAAAAGTTACATTTTATTCAATATTTACTTCCTGATTTTAAAAGGTTTATTTAAATAAATATATTTTCTAAAAGTATTTTAAGTCAGTTTTTGCTAAAAGTATGCACAGGATGCAACGGGGAAGCTGCAAAAAGTTACATTTTCAAATTGTTCTAGGGAGTACTTTTGGTGAACAACATCAGAATTTCCTTGTTGACAGTGAAATGTTATTGTATATTGTATTTTTATCTAGTGGAAATTCAACAAATATATCTGGAAAATGGTAAGGAACAGTTAGGTGTAAAAAATGTTGGGAAAAGTGAGGCTTTAGAATCTGCATATTGCTATATGGTCTGAGCACTTCAACTACATTAAGGTTGTTATGCCTCTGGAAATTGAAAATATATCACAAAAGAATTGAATATATGTTGCATACGCCATGCAGCGCCACCTGTAGTTGAGCAGACTCCCTCTACATTCACTCACTGAACGGCTACGGGGAACGACCTCATTAAGATGTTCCAGCTCTAATTATTTTCTATTGTCATTTAAGTGTTTTTTGTCATAATAAAAGCTTTAAAACGCAACCCTTGACTGCTTTGAAGCTTCATCGGCACTCCCCGTCCGTAACATGGGGGCTCGGCCAAACCTGCTCAATTAAGCTAAAGTCAACAGCAGCATAAAAAGAAACAAGAATCCTCCTACAGCTACACCGGCAAAACGAAACTGCCGCCATTGATCATCAACAGCAAAAAACCGCCGTTCCTGCAAATCAACACTGTTGAAAAAATATTTGGAATCATCACGCAAAGGATAAAATTAACGGATTTAGTTTCAATTTCAAGAAATGCAGGTAGGAGCAACTTTATTATTAAACATGTATAAAAATACGAGAAAAGAAGATCTACTACAGATCGCATTTGAATTAGGAATAACTGTACCGGAAAACGCTACGTTAATTACTCTAAAACGCTTAATTGAATCAAGTGATGTATTCAAAGAGAACGTAGATTTCGTTAAAAATCTAGTTGCATCAACCGTCGAAGAACGAAAAGCCCGCGAAGATAACGAAAGTGCTAAGATAGAATTAGAAAAAATTCAACTCGCACAGCTAGAACGCCAAATCGAATTAACAAACCTTCGAAACACTCTTAGTGCCAACCTGAACTCATCTAGAAATTCAGACGTAAGTGAAGATGGTCCCGATATCGAAAGTATTATTAGAAGCGTCCGAACACTTAGCATGCCTGTGTCGACAAGACCAGAGAACTACAGTTTATTTTTTCAATCTCTTGAACGTTCGTTTACCACAAAAAGAGTACAGGATGAAATAAAATCTGAAATATTGATAAATATTTTAGGCGAAAAGGCAAATCACGTTTTATTACACATTTCAGAAAATGATCTCCGAGATTATGAAAAAGTCAAAAATGCCGTTTTGAAACAATTTCAGCCAACACCACACGAATGTTTAATGAATTTTCGAAAATCTCAACGCCTGCCTGATGAATCGCACACACAGTTTGCTTCACGATTAACAACATCCTTCGAGTATTATTGCGAAATACGCAAAGCAACTGACTTTAAAACATTATCCCAGTTAATTATCGCCGATAAACTCTATTCAATATTAGATTATGAAACTCAATCGCATATTGCCATAATTCAAGGTGAAGAATGGTTAAAACCTCCAGAACTTGCTCAAAAATGTGATATTTTCTTTACGTCAAAACGAAAGTCGCTAAGTGAAACAAAATATAATGAACAATCCTTTAACCACGGACAAAATTTCAGAAGAAATCAGCAGAGTCCAAAACACTACCGTCAACAACCGTTCGACAACAAGCAAAAAAATAACTCATTTCAAAGCTTTAATCGTAATTCATATGAGAGAAATTCTACAGAATACCAATCACGAAATAATCCGCGCGAAAACTTTCCCAGAAACGAAACTAATTCGAATCGTAGATTTAACTCAAATCGAGACCCTGTTTGCAAAGTCGAAGCTAAAATATTTAATGAATCTAAGCATGAATTACAATACGAAAAAATTTTCGTTAATGATAAACTAGTCATTCAATCGTTAGTTGATTCCGGAGCCAATATTATTTGCGTACGGGAACACTTAATTCCCCCCAAAACAAAAAGTGTCGGAACTGTTCAATTAACTTGTGCTTTCGGAAATGAAGTACAAGCTGAACTTTCAAAAGTAAAATTATCGCTTCCAAGTTTTCGTAAAAACCCTATAACAGTAACGGCAGCCGTTTGTAAAAATCTTTATTGTGATTTAATAATTCCACCAAATATTTTGGATGATTTAAATGAAGCAAAAAAAGAATATGATCGAATTTCAAAAGAAAATATGATTTCTCCTTATTCTAAAACTAAATTTCCTTTGCATAAAAACGAACAACAAAATACTTCTAAATTAAGCTCAATGTCTAAAAAAGAAAATCAAATTACTTCTTTCATTTCAGAAAACGATAATTTTTCTCCTCCACTTTCTAAAACTAGATCTGACAAGGATGTAATACAGTCGCGTAAGTTAGACGAAGGTCAGTCATTCTTTGAGATTGAGAATAATAATGAACCACTCCCTTTTCAAACTGAAACCGAAAATTTGTTATGCGAATGCAAAAGTACTTCTACTCAAAATTTATTTGAAAAACAAATAAATGAATTTGATTCAATGACGTATGCGCGTAATAGGAAAGCGGAAACTGCCAAATCACGTGATCAGAGTGCTCGTTCCGATGTAAATAAATAAACCGAAACCGATATATTTTCGTCAGCCGAAACAGAAACAAACTATTTTAATTCTTCAAATCCGGAAAATAAAGAGATTAAAAATGCGTTTATTGAAAATACGGATTATCGTTTATCTAATATAAATATAGTTAACGCCGATGTTGATTTATCTCATTTAAAATCCGATACGCGTGCCGAAATTGAACAACTTATTAAATCTTATAGACCAAATAAAATTAAGAACACTAATTATGAAATGCAAATTTTTCTTCAAGATGAAATGCCAGTTCATCAACGTCCGCGCCGCCTATCTATTTTCGAGAAATTAGAAGTTAATAAGCAAATTAAAGAAATGTTAAACAAAGGTATAATTAGAGAAAGCACTTCAGATTATTCTGCTNGTGCAAGAACTTTTACACAGACTCTCAAATTTTTTTAAAAATTTATTATTTTCATTTTGAATTTTATTACATAAATCAAATATTAATTGAACATATTTAACTGAATATTAATAACAAATTTCTATTTTAATCATCGAAATATTCATATTGATCATATTTTTCAGAAGTGAGATAAAAATTTTTTGTAGATTTATATATTTGAAAATATCTTTTTATTACTTATTTTCTGCTAGTTTTATAGATTGAAGAGAAATTCATTTGCTTAATAATTTTGAAAAGTGCATTTTTACTTTATCAACTATATATTATATTAAAATTGAATATATTTAGAATTAGTTTAGATTTAAATTTTCATTAATTTACTGTTTTATATTTCAATTCAATTGTCAAAATATTTCTGTCGTCAATATTTTCTTTTTATTGTGATGTTTAATATTAACCTTTAAAGCAATTAATCGGAGACCGACTAAGTCAGGATGACAGAGTGTTGCATACGCCATGCAGCGCCACCTGTAGTTGAGCAGACTCCCTCTACATTCACTCACTGAACGGCTACGGGGAGCGACCTCATTAAGATGTTCCAGCTCTAATTATTTTCTATTGTCATTTAAGTGTTTTTTGTCATAATAAAAGCTTTAAAACGCAACCCTTGACTGCTTTGAAGCTTCATCGACACTCCCCGTCCGTAACATATATTATCTGCAAAACCAGGAAAAAATATTAAGAATTATAAAAGCAAAAATGTATTAAAATTTTTTTCTTTCTTTAAAAAAATGAAACCCATTGTAATAAAAAATTCTCCATTGAAATGTTTATTTTTTATAATTTTTTTACTTGAATAAAAAATTCGAATAAGCATTACAGCTAAATTAATTTTTGTAACCAGTTTTAAGCTTTTTTTTTCTTTCCATTTTCTCAATTTTATCTATTCAGAGTATTTTTTTTTTTTAATTTAAAGAGTATATAAAAGCTATTTAAAATGAAATAAATATTTATATAAATGTTTATTCAAAATTATGATTTAAGAATATAACAAACAAATTAATAACATTTTTCCATCTAATGGCAATCATAAGCGGAAAAGATTGCGGTCAATTTAAATTAATAGCTATTAGTACTATGAAGTTTTTAATTTTATTTTATTGTTATTTAAAATCCCTTGAATACCCTGTGTCTTAAATATTTTAAGGTTATTTGAAGTAGCATGAAATTAATATTATTTTGTAAAATTTTCAGGGCTCTTTTCATTTTTATGTTGGTAGCTGTATAAGCATGTTCTCTCTGTACTATAATTTTCCTGCATCACTAATTGATTCAAAGCGGACTTTATTGTTTTCACCCGTTAAAATCATTTGGTGTAGGAGCTCAAAGAATGTTATGTTTAATATGGTGCTATATAAATAAAGGTTCTATATTTCTCTAGTTGGTTATTACATATAAATAATTGCGTCTGTTTATATTTTAGGGTGTTTTGTGCCGTACCCTTGAAGGCCATGGCCATTGGGTTAACATAATAGCTTTAAACACTGACTATGTTATGAGAACTGGACCTTATGATCCAAGTAAAGCAGATATTGTTTATAGAGAAATTACTGAAACATGTAAGTTTATCATTTTTATAAAAATATCTTTTAATTTTATTGCAATATTAAATTTTTATACCCTATTTTTTTATTCCTTTCTTTTTATAGCAGAAACTTTATCAAAGCTTGCTAATGAGAGGTACAAGAATGTTACTGTAAGTATTTATTTAACAGTCTCTCAATTTTCATAAGAATTATTACTTAGATGTGTTTTTTAGGATTTTCCCTTTGTATCATTATGCAACTTTTTAAATTTAACTATTTTCTTTTAAATTCATAATTGTAAAGTTTTAAGAATGTTTTTTCTTCTTTTTTTTAAAACAAACAAAAATATTTAGTGTTATTTTAACTTTTATCTATTATTAAGGTGTAGAGCAATGGGGCCATCTATGAAAAGTTAGGTAATTCAATCATCAGTTGGGGGAAATTATAAAAGCACTCCCCCAGTTCTTCTATTACAGCACAAAAGTGGAAAAAAAATCCTGAAGCTCATTATCTTCGTCAAGTTTTCCCTGTCTGGTATCTCAATTTCACTACATTAACAGTAATGTGCACAGACTTCGGGTTAACAGTACTCCTTGCATGCCCCTTAAGAGGGCAGGTCAAAGTTAAGCTCAGCTTTTCACAAGATTGAAAAGATTGGTTGATGTTCATGAGATTTAAAATTACACTTCACCACTTGATTAAAGAACCAAAAGTGATTCAAATGTATTTAAGAATCAGAGTTCAGAGATCGTGATTTAACAAAATCCAATATTTTTATTGTTATCCTTGCTATTTTAAAAGTAAACATCACGATTAGTATTTCTGCAATTTATAAGTGAAAAAAAATTCATTGTGATTTACGTTATTTAAAAATTACATATCACAATTTGTATTTATGTTATTTAAAAACAAAACTAAACGTTTCGCATTCACGTAATTTAAAATTGCACATCTCGTTTCATATTTATGCAACTTAAAATGCACACATTTCGATTTATAATCATGCTCTTTATAAATTACACATTATAATTAGCTTTAATGCGATTTTAAAAAATCGCACTTGGCTATTCAGATTATTTTGATTTGAAAATTATTCATTGTGATTTGTATTCATGCAATTGCACATCATTTAATTTAAAGACTAAACGTCATGATGCAAATTATTGATTCAAAAATCACTCATCGCGATGTGATTAAAATCTAATATCTCGATTCTCATTCTTGCTATTTTGAAATTGGACATCATGTTATGTATTTCGGTGAATTAAAAATTACATATCATGATTAGTATTCATTCGATTTTAAAGCCAAACATCGCAATTCACTTGATTTATTTCAAAGAGTTGGTAATAATTTATTCTATAAATAAAAACCTAATAAGAGTTTTGTAACTGTCTGTATCTAAAAGGAATGTATTAATTTCATTTCATTAATGAGCATTTTAATTGCAATTTTCTAAACTCAGAAACTGACTACATTCACAGAATATGTAAGACTTTTGATGCCTACATAGACTTTTTTTTCCTACTAAAATTTCAGATGTGCTTTCAAAAAGCCACAATTACTTCTAAAATAAATGGATTGTTCATAGTTTTTTAATAAAATATCTTCACCTTCTTAAGATTTCTCTTTCTAGTTTTTTATACTGCTTGTAAAAGCAATTTTTACATCATGTGTATATTCATATATTGTGCAGGTTTAGTCAGGAAAAGATAGTCCACTGGCCAGGAATTTTGAGATAAAGAATCACTAGGCACCCTTGTTATTCTTTTTATAGAGACATGAGAAATGACTTATGAAATTGATTTTTTTTTTTCAGTTATAATTTTTAAAAATATTCTAACTGCTTCTATATTTAATCTATTTCCAAAGCTCAACTTTCAAACACACTTTGAAATAAAATATATTTAAAGTAATATGTTCAAAGAATTTGAATGAAGCATAAAATATGTAATGAATATGAATCTACATCTTTAATACAAAGTTTCTTTTTAATTTTTTAAAGGTTGGGAAAGAGAAAAAGAAAACGTTTTTCTTTATTTAAAATTAAAATATATTTAGTTTGTAAAAATATTCACCATTTTTTTAATCTGTTCTAAAATGATAACAGTCGAAAGATTGATCTTTGATATTTTCTTGAAAATCTTTTGTCATATTCTGTTCTATATTTTCTTTAATTACATGTGCTTTTTATTTATTATTTTAGAAAGACCAACCAGAACTTTTAGTTTCTGGTTCAGATGACTTTACATTATATTTATGGAAGCCTGAAACAGACAAGAAACCTCTTGCGAGAATGACAGGGCATAAAAACTTAATAAATGATGTCAAATTTTCTCCAGATATGAGGTTGATAGCAAGTGCCTCATTTGACAAATCTATCAAAATATGGAATAAAACAGGAAAGTAAGATTTTTGTATGTTTATTTTATTATTATTTTTTTTTGTTATGGCTTCAGTGGTTTCATTTATGAACCGTAGCATGTCAATGCCGAAAATTATAGAGGAGTTTCGAAGGTAAGTCTGCAGCATGGGGTGCGAGTAGGGAAATAATGGACCATGATATTTATGGAGGTAAAATTATAATCAAACTTTGGATATACTTAAAAACATTTTTATTTCCTCTTTTATTTAAATTTAAAGGAGAAAATTACAATGTTGCTTTTCCTTGATCCAGATGTTTTTTCAGTCCAAATTAAAATCCTTATTGATTGCTCAAGTATAATTCTTTGTTTTGTCTATAAATAAATAGAATAATTATGAATGTGAATATTCATAATTATTATTTTCAGAAGAGGAGAATTCATATTTTAAATAGGGACCCGCTTTTTTTTAAAAAGGTGCCCGGAAATATGAAAAGGTGCCTGAAATATCCTTGGTTGTCAGTTCACTGCCTTAACTACTGCTTAGCGGAATCATTGCTCTTGATTTCAAATGTCTATCTAAGCTCTAAAATATTTTCCAATTTACTCCCATTTTTTTTAAAAATTTCTATTTTTTAAGGTAACCATACATGTAATACTGATACAATCATCAAATTTTTGACGAATTTCTAATTTTATTTTCTACCTTTTCAGGTTCCTTGCTACTCTGCATGGTCATGTTCAATATGTATATCAAATTGCTTGGTCTGCAGACAGTAGACTGCTTGTAAGTTCTAGTGCTGATTCTACTTTGAAATTGTGGGATATGAAGACGTACAAAATTATGATTGATTTACCTGGGCATGCTGATGATGGGACGTTACACTGTATATATGTTTGGAAACCATTATATTTATTTAATCATAAAGAAAAAGTAATTATTTTCTAAATGTGGAGAAAACTTTATATAATTACTTTATATACTCATAGATGTACTTGATTTATTTGGTAGTATACTAATTTATATAGTGTTTAAACATTTTAAACAAGATGCATTGCAGTGAGAAAAATAATGATTTTTACTATTTAATATGATAACAGGGGGCGTGGCGTTTTTAAAAAGTGCTTAGTTTCAATTTTCGTTTTTTAAAAGCCCTTGTAGGTGCTTCTTTCATTGGGTGTTTTTAAAAAGTGCTTAATTTTTCCTTTTTTTAAAATGAGATATTTCCTTTGCCATGTTGATTTCCACTATGAATTATGCAGAAAGACACTGTTCACATTGTTAAATTAACCATTTTCATACTTAATTCAACCCCAATCTATTTCGACGCATCGTCAGTCCGTAGTGTATGAAAATGCCATTTGATTTACATGATTCGGAAGTTTTGACATGACGGTTAAAACCAGATAAAGTCTTTTTTTAATAATTTAGCTATGCACTCTGGATAAAGTTAATTAATACATAATAACTTCGCAGAAATTTCAACGACTCTAAAACCTGAAGCTGTCAAAAAATTAAATTTTTGAAGAAAAAAAACTCATCACATTTTAAACTGGGAAAATACTGCTAACTACACAAATAAATAACTTTTCATCTTGTAACTTACTGTAACAATAAGTAAGCAGCGAGATTCAAGGTAAATAAATCTCATAGTTTTACAATTATATTTCTTGTAAAAATTCTACCTCAACATAGTTGAATTTTCCTAGATTTATTCAAATCAGATTATATATTTGTTCAAAATACTTTTGAATGTAACCATATATGCAGTTCAACAATATAATTTAATAAGATGGTAATACAATACAGAGCCTTTATCAGGAATCCAGAAAAAAATTGGCTCGCATTTTTGAACTAGAACAATTATGGAAATTTCAGTTATATATGAAGTTAAGTAGAGGGAAAGGTATGGGGCTTTGATTTCCGAGGGGGAAATGCATTACATATGCTAAAAAAATACATGGCTATGTTTTAATATTTAAACTAAACTAAACTCAGTGGCGCGACAGCCCATAGAGGGCCAAGGCCTACTGTGCCCATCTCAGTTTTCTTGGGCTCTCGGGTGCAGGAGCAGACGTTCCAGGTAGGTGGTCAGCCGAACGCGGAACCCCTAGTGTTTAGCTCCCAAGCATGCTTGCTACTCATTTATCGACCCACTGAAGGGATGTAAGGCTGTTAATATTTAAACACAAAGTAAAAAAAGTGAAGTGGAAATACAATTTTTTAATTGAAATATGAGAACAGCTAAAATATGGCAATTTTTAATCAATAATTAAGTAGAAATATACTTAATTTTGCAGTACATAAATTTTTATCTGGTTCCTAGAAAATCGAGTAAAACTTTGCTCACTTCTCCCGCCATTTTGGACTAGAACGTCTGAGTCATCATTGAAGCTTAGTAGGTGGAAAGATGGAGGGATTCTTTTTCTTCCCCTTAAATCAAATGTGAAGGAGCCACAGATTTAGATAAAATGAAATAACTCAAAAACTCGATTGAAAAACTTTTAGTTTTAACTCTTTCAACGCTATCTAATTTTGACAAAATTTGTCCAGAAATCACCAAATATATTAGTTTTATTTTATAAAATATTTTAAGTGATTTTTTTTTTAAAAGTAGAACTTTAGTTCTTTGTTTCCATAGCTTCTTGATAGTCTAACTGAACCATACTGATTTCCAGTTCTAACTAAACCACAATTTAACAAGACACGCTGAAGACTTCTGCTTAAAATCCCGTTATGCCACCTATAATTGCTATTATACGTAGCGACGAGTTAGCAGATTAAATGATAAGAAACAAAGCTTTCTGCCCGATAGAAAAATCAATCGCTGTCAGTCCTAATCTCGATGTCTGAAAGTTAAATGCAATCAATACTATGATCCCATGGAAATATTTACTTCTCCTGAAATCAGTCTCTGTCAGATTGATTGCAAGGTAGAATCAAGAAATTATTTTTATTTTTGTTATGTATTTTTTTATTTTATTTTCGAAAATGAAATCAGTATCTTGTAAGCAAAATCAAATGAAACGAATCATTTAATTCTTTGCCTTGATTTACGAAGGGGAAATATAAGCAAACAAAAGGTGGTTGGGAAATTATAAGAAAAATACATTGGTATACTGTGTAAATATAATAAAGTAAAAATATAAATTTTTAAATAGAATACTAAAACGGCTTAAATATGGCTATTTTTTAAGCCAATATTAAAGTAGGTATATAGTTAAGCTGCATTGAATCATTTCTTAGTGATCCTAAAAACTGTGAAGTTCTGACATCCTGTATAGTGATGGTCCCAAGCATTTACAATATTTGGTTCTCAACTGTAATTTGTTTTAAAAACTAAGTTTTTTTATGTAAGTTAGTTTATGTTCTTGATCACTAGTAAGATCATGGCTGCATGACTGATTCTGTTAATAATTTATATTATATATTGTGTTTTCAAACATTTTATAGTTCTTATGCAAAATGTTCTGTTCTTAAATTTTATGCATATGTTTTATAAAACATGTTTGTTAAACCTTGGACTAGTAAAATTCTGCTTCTTACAAAATGTATTATCCAGTTTTATTTTTTTGTGTCTCAAAATTTCATGGATTACTGAACAATAAAGGCTATATTTATCATAGCAGAAGTGCAGTTTGGAATTTCAGGGAAATTACTTCTGAAATTGAGTACTCAATTTCAATATAAAAATGTCATTAAAAAATCTATAAGTCACTAGCTTTCTAAAAAATGAACAATAATTTATTTATTAATGAGCGTCTGGCCTTTTTCTATCTAAGAATTAAATGCTTGTTAAGACCCATGTCTTGTAATTTCTAATATGTAATGTATTTTATTTAGATCTATGCAGTTGATTGGAGCCCTGATGGTCAGAGGGTTGTTAGTGGAGGAAAAGACAAAGTAATAAAAATGTAAGCAACTACAACTTTATATTTTAAAATATTTGGAATTTTTCCCAATTGATATGAGTTAAATAATAGCCACTAAAATATTTTCTCAAAATTTTGTGAAAAGTCACTATTTTTTTCTCTTGTTTACAAGGAATTGTTAGTGTTATTTATTGGATGTATTAGAGAGTAATATAATAATAATATTATAAAGTAATATTATATAGTAATATAACATACAACCTAGTGCATTGGAATTTGTTTAAAAATATACATATGTATATACTTTAGATCTATTTTAAAACACTGAATTTTTTTTGCTAAAAAAAAAGATTTCTTTGAAAGAAAATGTGTTAGGTATATTAGCTTATGCACACGATATATATACAGTGAAACCAGATAAGACCACCTATATGTAGTGACCTCTTCTATTAACAACCAATTTTGGGAGACACAGAATTTTTTCTGTAGACTTTGTGTTCAAGAAAGCCTTTAAGAGAGACCATCAAAACCTCTCCCAGCGACTGGGTAAAGATCTGTACCAAATGCGGAACTGGTCTAATAAGGAATTCACGAAAAAATATTAAAAAAGCAAACAAGTAGGTTAAAATGTATTAAAAATATTTGTGTGAGGTTTTTATCTAGTCTCTTTTTGACAAACCCTGTAAGAGATCCACAACCTCATGTTGCAGTAAGAGTGAATTAAAGTCAGTGCCATTAATGATTTATTTTTAGAGTTGAAAGTTAAATAAGAAAAAAAGTTATTTTATAAAAAACTAAGCTAACCTTTTCTCATTTTAGCATCGAACAATTAAACAAACCTCTTCTCATTTTTTAAAGATAACTAATTTTCACGATTAAAGATTGAATGCATTAAGAAACATTATTGTTCATTTATTTCAAATAGTTCTATCATTCATAATTGATAAATTTGTTTTTACTTTTTATTATATCAGAAGGGATAATTTTTATTGAAGCTAAATTTTATCTGCCAATCTGGTTTTTACGACGCCAACAAAAGTGGAATTTCTGAACCAAAGAAATAACAATGACTAAAATTAAAATAGTTTGCGAAGAATCAGGATTACCACAGGCGACTAAAATGCAACTATTTTTGCCTGAAAAAGCAACTATTTTCAGAGAAAGGAGACTTTTCTGTACTCCTAGCAATGTTTTTTTTAAAGCATAAATTGGGTGGAAAATCTGCATCCCCAAGATAGTTTCTGAACATACTGAACTTTTTTTTTCTTAGAAAATAAAAAAATGGTAAAAATTTTGAATTGCAAATATGAGTCTTCACTTTTTAATTTGTTCAATCTGCACAGATTCCATTGTAGTCTATTTCATTACTCGACCGCCTTTTCAAAAGCAACTAATTTGTTCATTTTTTTCTGTGGGGCAACCCTGCAGGATAGACTTTTGAAGTCAATGAAGGTAACCCCTAAGAATGACCAACCTCCATTAATGACCATTATACTGTGGAACAGAGCTCCATTGAGGTTTCACTGTATATATCTACCTTGAACTCTTCCCAAATCTACCTTTTTAATTTTTTGCAACCTTATAGTATGTATAATATGTTTTGAAATGCAAATTATGTAAGTAGTTTGAAGATTCACATGTGTTGTGTATTACACAATTCTAATTCAAAAAATTCTATTAACTTGCAATATTTTTGTTTTAATTATATTGATTTATTTTTCATTTTCTAAAATTTTTCTCTTTAAATTGGTCTCAAAAATCAGAAATAAAATGTAGCCTTTTATTAGGAAATTGCATCTAATTTTAAAAATAAATTAAATAATTTCTTTCTTTTTAGATGGAGAAAATGATAGGTGTCACAGAAATGTAGCAAGCAATGTATTGTTTTGTAAATAAATTATTTTTTGCATTTTAAATTAAATTTGTATCTCTGTATTTAAAGTATATGACTTGACTCTGAACACTATCAATAAACCATTTAACTAATTTATAGAAACACATATACTTAGATTCATCAATTATTTTAATCCTTTCATGTTATCTAACTCGAAAAATAGTAATAGAAAGGTTTTTTTAATAGGAGCTTTTATTTTTTGCCTAGTGAAATAAATATTGTGGAAAAATTCACCAAAACTCTTATCTGAACTGTTAATGGTTGTCTATCGCTGCTAAATTAAAGAATTTATCTTTAATTTGAGCAACTCATTAACCCCAAAAATACTAGAATAGATATAATTACATTACAAAACATTTTAACTCTTATTATTTTTAATGTCGAGAATATAATTTTTTAGAATAAGAAAGTAGTTTCTAATAATATGAGGCAGACCTTGTGTAATATTTGTAAATATAAATTATAATTATTTCTCTGCTTTGATGTAAAGTAATTACTATATTAATTTCCGTTATTTGCCCAATTTTTATTTGTTTTTTTCTAAGAAAAATGTAAAATTAACCTAGTTAACTGTATGCTTCATTCAATATGACTAACACTTGTATGAGTTGCAATTTCAACATCATTTTTCACCCATTTCCTACATTTTGATTTTAAAAAATATATTTCTAATGAATTATGCAAAGTACCATGAAATATAAAAATGTAGATGTTTAAATATAATTTGTGAGTCAAGAAATTTATTACAGAAGAAAATAGTAATCTGGGATTTGGGGAACACTTATAAGAAAAAGTTATTTTTGTAAAAATAAAATAATAACCTTGTGAGTAAAAGAAACAAATTAATATTTTTTAAAATTATACTATTTTCATTAATAAGTGAGCATTGGATATTAAAACCTGTGATGTCCAAAAAAAAAAAAGACTAAACAGAAAAATATGGTCTAAGAAACCTCTTTTGCTGATTTTGAACATTTTAATTATAATTAGAACCAGGATGTTCTTAAAAAAGGACCTTAAAAATGAAAAAAAAAAAAGCTTTGTAAAATGTTTTTATAGCCTTATAAAACTTGTTATATATCAACTTAACTTTTTTTTAAAAAAAAGAATTGTTTTTTTTAAATTGTAACTTGTGTATAAATATGCAATTTGAGAATACATTAAAATATCAATAAATACCTGATAAAATTAAATAAGAATTTATTATTGCATTGTATTTGAAATTTTTAAAATTGAAAGAATACCATAGTCCAAAAACGAAAATCCTTTAATCTCGAAAAACTTAATTCTACATCTTGTTTATAGTAGGACACTTAACATAACAAAGTTAAATGCAAAATTTACACTAATTTATATATATAAAAAATATTCACTGGCAAAACGCTTTTAAAATGAAAAATGTTTTTTACAATTTTAATTATCGTTCTCATTTAAAACAACCTTAACTTTTTGATCTCTTGGTTAAAGTAAAAGGAACTGCATCTTAACTCTTCGTTATAGATTTATACAACTCTGAATACCCAATGTATCAAGTAACAATTAGTTTAGACTTATAAAAAATTAATATACTAACTTCATCACCTAAATTAATTGATTGAATTCACACATAACTTTCATAACATGTTTAATAACTAGAAACTTATATAAAAAATTAAATGAGAAAATTAAGTCCGTGCATTTTGTAGCAAGTGAGCAAAACGATTAGTAAGCATTAAAGAGGCATCTAAGAACCGTTCAACACAATTTACTAGACATGCCTGTGACCGACTATCTAACTTGGAACTTGGCTTGTCAATGCATTTATCCCAGCATATGTCTGTAATGTGATGTACCTAGAATCAATAAAAGTTGTTGTTAGTTAATATAAAAAGTTACAAGGTAGAATTTAATTTAAAAATAGTCAAAGAAATAAATTTATTTGTGATGAAGTGCTTAATAACTGAACGATTGTTTAAAAGTAGTAAAAAACTTAATGAAAATTTTATCCTGAGTTTAAGTTTGAAACCTCCTTTTGGTATGTAAGTCCATGTTGGGTCAGGATTGAATCTGTCTTATCTTTATCTAAAATCACATTCTAGAATATTGGTTGGACAATAGGCAAATTAAATTCAATTCTAATTTATGGTTGGAATATATATTCTTACATGGTATATAATTGAAAATCAAAATATATTACTATGATAATTTAAAACTAAAAAGAGGGATAGTAAAAATTTTAAATTTTGAAGACCAGCAGTTCCCAAATCATGGGCCTCAGCCTACAAGTAGTGTCAAAAAAGAAAACTTTATTCTTTTTCTACTTCAATAGAACAGATATCAATAAAAGGTTTCTTACCTGGTTTTTCTACCCGGGTCGGTGCGTACCTAAATAAATCTTAAAAGAAATGACCACATACTCAAGAAAAAATACTCTTTCCAATTAGTTAACAGGTGTATATTAACGAAACACTACAATAAACAACACGATCTCTCGTTCGCCAGTAACACCAAAGCTCTCAAAAAATTGTTGTTCTGAGAGAGAGTTCTATATCCAGTGGCGCCATCTAGTATGTCATCTGGCAAGGAAAATGGTATTCTGTTTTTAACAAGTGGGCTATGGAGGTTGGTCGAGAGTCTCTAAGTCAAAACGAATCTTTGAGCTAATATAAATTTTTCGGAACATTCCTAGTACTTAGTCCTAATGAGTTGTGCATTACTTAATATTTTAAAATTAAATCTGCTTGTGGACATATGTACAGTACACTATATAATTTGTCATACCTTATAAGGTATGACAATTTCTGTTGTTAAAAAGTTTAGTTATCTGATTTAGACCTTCAAACTAGATAAAATACATTTTTTGGTTTGGTACAGTTTCAAATAGTTTGGTATAGTCCATTAGGTAAATATTTATCAAGAGAGTTAATTTAGCAAAAAGAATGAAACAAAATACAATTTATTATAATAAATTATTACTTTTAAAGAGATATTTTTGCCTCTTCTAGTATTAGTCATCTTTCAGTAGGCTCAGTAAACAAAAAACATATACATCTGACAATGTAGTAAATCAATACAATCAATAGAACTTAAAGTGTTAATAAATATGATCATTAGTTTAATAAAAACAAACAAACAAGAATTGTGAAGCATCTAATAGCAAAAAATAATTGTATCTCTAAAACTTTCATATTCAATTAAATTTCGAAATCAAACTGCAATAAATGAAAATAAGGATTTAATAAATTTAAAAAAAATTAATTTAGTATGACTGTAATAAAAAATTGGACATTACATTAGTAATCTTTTTCAACATATTTAACATTTTAGGACTACCTAAATCTTATCTATTCCATGACAGATACTTTAAACTGACTGTCTTATAACAGAGTTGCATGCAGAGTTTACAGTGAATAATTTCAAAATTGAAAAAAGTAACACATAACAAATGAACCTACTTGTTCATGGAATTGGGTTTTCACTTTTTCAACAGTTAAGAACTTCTCTAAGTCTGCATCAACGTTGTTAGCATCAAGAGACATCCTAAATTTTAAAATTAATTTAATGATTATATGCAACAAATAATGATTCAAACTAAATTATAAAATATTACTATCAGGAGAACTATTCTAGACAAAATGTCTGCAGCTATGGAAATCCAAACACAGTTTGAAAGGAGGATGGGCTAACACGAAATGATATACATACACTCTAGAGCATATTTAAATAATGGTAAATATAAAAATAAATTTTGAGTCTTAAGCCCTGCGGCAAATTTTTTTTCGAGCTATCTGCGACAAATCTCCCTAGCACAAATATCTTTCTGCAAGAGACTTTTAATAATAAATAAAATTTGCGTAAATAAGTGTTTACAAAAAACAACTATATATTTTTATTCAACTGAACATGTAATAATTTTTGATACTTATACTATAGGTGATATTCTCGCATTTTTTTTGGGGGAGGCAATGCATAATTTATCTCCTTCGAATTTTGTAAATATTCATAACAATAAAAAAAAAAAAACAATTTAACTTCATGAAATTCGCAGCTGCAATTGCCAAAAAAAAAAAGATTGATGACAAAATTGCCCGAATCGGACATCTCAAATGCGTGTTTCGTTTCGAGATTAGGTTGTTGTAATAAATAATATCGTATAGAAAATGTCGGATTAAAAGTCTATGGAGAAATCAATAACAATAACTGCCAAAAATTCAATATAATTATTGCCTTAAAAAGTAAATAAACAAATGCATGTTTCGAATTTTTCTATTGTTTGAAATATATCGGGATATTTGAAATCCACGTGAAAATTAATATCAATAACTGTCGAAAATACAATAGAAACATTACATAGATTTACGATACTATCAGCATAAATTGGAAAAGTCAAAAAGTGATTATCTAAATGCGTGATTCAAATAAAGAGATGCCAACTGCTCCGGACACGCCATGATAATTAAAAAAAAAACGGTAAATATCTACAGACTAAATTTTGCAAACATTTGACATGGTTGCTTTAAAAAAGATATAGCATGCCATGACTACTATAAAGTGGTGAATTATATAAATAAGCCTTCAAATTATAGTGGTGGATAAAAATCTACTAAACCAAGAATCAAAATTGATAAACTACCACTTTAAGATATTTATTTGTAGTCCGAAGCAAGTTGGCATCTCTGCAAATATTACGTGTAAATTTCTGAAGATAAGAAAAGTATATATATATTTTTTACTTTTCAAAAGAAAAATCTTTCTGCAAGACCTTTGTACCATTCTGCGACAATGTCACCGCGATTCTTACGCGAGGTCTTAAAGCTGTGTATCTTTCTTTGCTTATACCTTCATACCACATCTTTTGAAGATAAAAAATAGTTTATCACAGCAACTACAAGCATCTGAAGTAATTTTTTATGGTTTTTATTTACCGTACATATTTATTTTTACGTACATCTCAAAGTTCATTAAGGTTAATAATATATTTTTCATATAAAAATTTTCGAATCAGTAGCTGCACTAATATGGTCACTAAGTTTTTCAACAGAAGAAAAACATTCCAGAATGGTAACAAATATATATGAATACAATTAAATAATAAAACTGCTAGCATCTCTTAGGTACAAGAACACATGTGCCACCTCTAGGCAAACTATACACGTGTTTTTTTAAAAAGTTGCAAGTTCAAATTTTAGTTGGCGCCCTAGCTATTGCAGATGATACAAAAATCATTATTCCGAAATATCCTCGATTTTATTCATTTTGCTTCCTGAATCATGCTTATCAACCATTCTGGTACAGATTCAAAATATTTTCTCAAACCAAACAAACTACCAATATATGGTGGCATCAAACAAAACAAATTTCTTAGAAAACTTTTCAAGTCTTCCCTGATCCCAGTGACTAAAAAATTTTTTTTTTCCAGCAATGAATCATCTTGCTATCATGCAACACATATTTTTCGAAAGTCTGTACTACCTGAGACTCATTTTGTATGGCTCTTGTCAGTCTAAGGAATTTGTTAAAAGATTATATTAACATGTTAAAAGATTATTCAACTGTATCATGAAAATATAATTGTTAAACATGAGATTTTAGACATAGTGAAATTATATGAGTAAGTTACTTTATGACAATGAATTAAAATATTTGGTAAATTATAGATTTTGGTAATTAAACGTTGAGTTTGTAGTTTCAATACATCATTGCAGCCACATTTAAAAAAAAAAAACAAATTAGGTTGTTTCATACTTACACTAAGTTTCTTGATTAAAAAACGAAATATTTATATGGGTCGGACACCGAATAATCACTATTTATTTATTCGGTAAACAATGCGGCACAGAGGACAAAATTTTCATCATACAGTTTCATATAAACACTTCCGGCCACCTATTTCAATTACGTTATGTATAAATCGTAAAATAAGCCTAAATTTGTGATTCAAATAACTGACATAATCAGCACCAAATCTGAAATAAAAATGAAGAAAAAATGATAAAATTCAAGTATTAATTAGCAGTTGTAAATTGAAACGTTTATTGAAACATGATTGTAAACATGATGCATCAACATTCAAGTTATTATTCGCAGCTGTGACTTTTAGCACTTGGCGAAAATGGTGCCACACACCAAAAACACATAACAGCTAAATGAGGTTAACCAGGCTTATTATGTTTAAAGAACAGCAGAAATAGGCAGCAAAAGTCTGTTTATTGTATTATCAATCTATCAATGCCGGAGCGAAAGTAATTTGTTTACATCAGATACATTATCCTGTTTGGTTTATATGTTTTTTTTCTCTAGCAATGAATTCTTTCATTCTAGTTTTATGTTTAATATTTTTCAGTGTTAATATAAGAAAGAGTGTCGGTGAAATAGATCTAAATGGCTATGTTCTCTATTGTCCTTGTATGGGTTAGTAATTTTACTATGATTTTTTTAATGTTAAAGATCAGCATTAATTAATTGTTTATGTTATGCGAAATGTTAAAAGATTAACATTTGGTATTAAAATTGTATTTTAAGAACAATTTCCGTTTGTAGGAATAAGTTTTGTGCGTTTAAAAAAAAGCCAACCAGTTTGAAGCAATAGTTTAAAAGTTAAGTTAATACATTTTAAGCTAAATCTTATGTGTAATAAGTATCTAACTTGGGTGTATCTTGTATAATTACTGATTTAATATGAGTATTTAGTATGTTTTAAGCTATTTATCACTGAACCTTCATGATGTTTAAAAGAAACAATTGTTATGCTGTTTTTAAATTTTCATATTGTTTGCATCACTAAATATTAATATTTGTATACTATTAAAAAAATAATAAGATTCGTATGAGTCATGTATCCGAGTTCTGGAATTGTCAGAAAATTTGTTTTTAATTCAAAAATTCACATTTTTTACCAGAACGAGAAAATTCCTATGACAAGCCTAAAAATTACATGCAATGAAAATTAAATATATTGTTTTGTATAAAGGGAAATTTAAATTAATCTAACCATTTTAGTTGTTATATTAGTAACACTCTAATTAAAGACGCTGCATGACAGAAAAATTCATTATTGTGCTAATTTCATACAATTATAACTTTTAGGGATGTCTTTTTATATTTATTTTAAATAACTGTTAAAGTTGTTTAATTAGGTAACTAAAAGATCATAAATGTGTGAAGTGCTTAATGAATATAAAACATATTCATTGAACAGTTTCAAACCGTAAAGTAAAGAAATTCGAGTTAATGTGTTTCATTTTATCAGTAGGTACTACACGAATGCAGTGTTTTCATTACAGAAAAAAAATGGATGAGAATTTCTCACCCTTTCTCAAATACAGGGTGAGATTTCAAAAAGTTAAGTGAGATTTCTAAAAATTTAAAAAAAAATAAAATACAAAGAGACTTGAAAAAAAGTCACTTATTTAATTATAATAAATTTTTAACATCTTCTGATTTTTAAAGCATTGAATATTTTTGCTGCATCGTCATAAGGACAATGTTCTACATCTACTTTTTCATTAGCTATTCTCATTAGACTGCTCAAATGCGTATTTGTTTCGTTTTGATCGTTTCTGCCCACATTTGTTTCATTTTCATTTGTCCGTTTCGGAGTAGAAGATATTACCTTTACAAGATATTTGTCCATCTTACATTAATGCGCAAAAAATTTGAGCGTCTTACATGAAGAAAAATGCGTTCTGAAAGAGGTTCCGTGGCTGTTGTTCTTAAATGTTCTGAACAATTCTGGTAAATAGGGAAGCTAGATAATGGGGCAGATGTAGAAAAAAATGAAAGGTACTGGAAGAAAAGTTGAACGGATTTCATTCTGAATGGCGCAATGAGAATTTTTTTTCGAAATGCGAGAAATTCGCGAATTTTGAAATTGGTTTATAGAATGCGCGAATTTCTTGCAATAATAATTTTTTAATGCGAGGAAAGAAAAAAATATGTGAGATTCTCGCGTTCTCGCATTGTAGTGAAAACACTGGAATAATATATAAAACTTTTTTTAAAAATTGTATCACTTTAATTTCTAGGCCGCTTTGGAAACCAGGCTGATCATTTTCTAGGATCTTTGGCTTTTGCTCATGCATTGAATAGAACACTTGTTCTTCCTCCGTGGGTTGAATATAGGACTGGTCATTCTAGATCGGTAACATAATATTTTATATGTGATTTAATAACTAGTATTTGATTCCATTTGACTTAATTTTTCTTATATAACTTATATTTGACGTAAAATTATTACATAATTATTTTTCATAATCATTTGCAGATGTTTAATTTTGTTTTATATATAATTGTAATTTGGTAGGATGAACATCCATATTTTTAATATTTCTATTTTATTTTTTCTTATGTTAAGGTTACATACAATTGTTCTTATGAATAACTATTGTTTTTACTTTGTAAATAGTTTTATATACATTAAACTATTTTATGAGTGTGTGTAATTAATTATATGAAAAGTAAATGAATCATGCTAATTCATCATCATCGATATTCTTTTCACGCCAGTCTAGTGTATAAGGCTTTAAGTCTCATTCTCCATGACTTGCGGTTTAAAACAGCCTCTATAGCCAAGCTAGACCATTCAAGGTCATCTCTGTCACTCACTATCATTCTTTACCATGTTAGTGTCAGCATTTCTCGCAGATGCTTTTCCATTATTCAGTTTTTTGATGGTGGCTTTAATCTCTGCTACAGATACGTCGCTCATGGCAACATTCAACATTGGTATTACATTATTGAAAGAAGATGTGTTTGTTACTGTGTTACTCTTCTTATTTAATATCTCCTCAAAATGTTCTTTCCATCCATCTGAGATATCTTGCTCTTGAGTTAATAAGACACCTTATTTATTTTTAATAGCACTTTCACAATTTTGAAATTTGTCGCTAGTTTTTTTTTGTGATTTTATAAACATATTATACCAATGTCTGAAGGGGGTTTCTGTTAACGTGGTGAACTGACTTTTTTATTTCTTTCTGTGCAAGATGATGTTCCATCTGTTATTTCTTAAGAAGTCTTTCAGAGTTAGTGTTGTTAATTTTGTTTTGAGTTTTCTTTCGTTCCTCTATGAAGTTGAGTGTGCCTGCTGGAATCCATTGAATTAGAAATCATGCTAATTAGATAGAGTAATATGTCTGAACATTTTCACGAAACGCTCAGACATATTTCATAAAAATTGTTCATTTCATTAACTCATTTAAATAATTATTTGTTCAGGACTGAAACAGTGGTTAGTTGGTTTAGGACCACCAAAATTTCACTCAGACCATGATAAAATATTCTATCAGTGGTCTTCCAGACCAGCAATTGGTGTAAAAGAATGTTTTATTGTTTTAGTTTTTTGATTTTTGTCACAGAATAGCATATTTTGTCATAATTGTGAGCATTACACATTCTCTGTTTTCTAATTTTGCCTTTTAATTCACTTGGTAACTTTAAAAAAAAAAAAGAAAATCAAATAGAGACATATAAACAACTCAATGAAAATGTGTACTGGCTAGTAATATCTTTTAGTTAATGGTCATTTGGTTTAGTGACTAAATTTTCTTAATTTCTATCCTAGTTCATTGATTCATTTTTAAATAAAAAAAATTATTATTTTAGGTTAGATGACTGATTAATAGTTTCTAATTTTATACAATCATCTTTGCCTGCTGTTTTTAACTATGTATCTTGTTTAAGCACTTTATTTGTAAGATAAACAATACAATAAGTTAGTTTGTCAAATACTTTTTAAATAATTAATTTTCTCTTTCATATTTAAGGTGCAAGTTCCATTTGACACATACTTTAAAGTGGAACCTCTTAAAAGCTATAATAATGTTATGACCATGGAAGAGTTTTTCAAGAAGTTAGCTCCAACAATTTGGCCAAAAGGAAAAAGAAAAGGTGTCTATCATAATATGTTTAGAATTTTGCTGTGATTTTAAAAATGCTTTATTATAATTTTTGTACTTTTTATTCAATGCTTTGTTCTGTTTAATTTCATCCTTTTTTTTTTAGAACAAATTTTATTTCTCTTTTAATTTGCCTCATTAAAATCTTTTTTATTATAAATCTCATTATAGTTTTCTGCCAATTATTCTGTTAACTGTTTGCTATGATTTTGTGTAAATTATAATTAAGGACAATACAAGTGGGGTTTTTAATGTTTAAAATTTGCCGATGAAAAAAGTTTTTTTTTGGGGTGGTGCTGACAATTTTTCACAAATGCAATATAAGTTTTAGGAGAAACTGCTGCTGCCAATTATGCAAATTTTTTCCCTTTCTCCCTAAAAAAATAATGACAGGATCTCTATGTGTTATGAGGAAAAGAAAAAACATAAAATTGTAAACCACATAACAATCTGTTATGGATTGACAGGGTCATTAAAGTTAAAACTTCACAATTTCAATGCCGACGGCATGATTGTGGTAATAAAGTCAACATAATTATTCCTTGTGAAAATTCAACATTGGAATATTACAAGGAATAATTGTACATTATTAAAAAAACCATCACAAACGTGTTGTATGTAGCTAAAATCTGTCTGATTTTTTTATTTATCTTTGCTACTTAGAGAAGTAATGTTTGGTTTGTAACTTTGAATGCTACATGGCTCACAATTCTGTTACAATATCCTTTAAAATAGAAATTTTTGTTTTGCATGTAATATTACATAAGGCATCATTTTTTTTTAAATTTCACTAATTATTTTTCTTTAAATTATAGCTTAATTGTAATTTTTCAGTTTTCTGTTATTCTGCTCGTGGGGATTCTGATGGATGCAATGCAAAAGATGGCAATCCTTTTGGACCATTTTGGGACACATTTGATGTTGACTTTGATGAATCTGTATTTTATCAGCCTTTACATTATGATGTACATTTTCATAATGTTGCCCAAAAGTGGAATGAGAAGTATGTATGTCTTATTATGTATATTAATAGTATTTAACAGCTTTGATGTCTTGAACATCTATAGTGTTAAATACGTGATATAGCAAAATATATTAATTATCTTCTTGGAAATTACGGGATCAGATGGGGTGGGGGGCAACGAAGTTACTTTTAGAGGCTCTGAAACCAAACTAAATAATTTATTTTAATAAAGCTTTTGGTGTATTTTATATATTTTGGATACATATAGATTTAATATTAAGCATCACTATTCTAGTTTGTTTGATAGTTTTACTGCAGTAACACATTTAAAAGAAAAAAATAAATTTTTGATTCTGTTTTGATTCAAATGAATAGCAGCTGGTGCTAAGGAATGCATCAGGTTCTAAATGATATTTAAGTGAGGGAATTAAAACATCAAAACATTATAAATGATAAATGAGGAAGGTCAGTTTAAACCTGTTTGATTGCAGGAGATGAAAAGGATCTATTAAAAACACTTTTAGATTCATTGCATAGTTAAATTGGTTTTGATGCTTTTGATCCTGCTTTTCTCATTAGTACATTGTCAAATTTCGACAGTTTTTATTTTCACTTCACTATTAATTTGCAAGACACCGATATACATGCTTTTCAAATTTCATTTTTGATGAGGATTCTAATATATATACAGTGAACTCTCGCTACTATGATATCCGATACAACAATAACTCCCTCCATTACGATAATGTTCCGTGGTCCCGCCAAACTTGCATATGGATTAATGTTATCTTCCTCTCAATATAACGATATTCTCTGAAGCAGTAAACCTCTGTAGAACGATTTTTTTTTTCAAATTTCAACATTATTTCCTTTTTTTTATTGGTTTTCAAATAATGTAAAATGCCTTTTTGTCATCTTTTACCATTTTTTTCATCTTTTCTGATAAAAGGGTCACTGCTGGTTATGATCTTTCACCCCACTGTTATTTCTTTGCACATCAGAGAATGGCTTTTGTATTCAAATTTCATTCCCCCACTGTTGAGGTACTTAGACCACCCTAAGAGCTTCGGGTTTTAGAATTGCCTCCCTCAGTTCTTAAGAAATCACCATTGTAACATCATGAGTCATAAATGACCACACACATCACAGTAACACCTGCGACCCTGAAAAGGTACTGTTTCTGTAGAAGGTGGGTGGAGCACGTTTATTGAAATTGAGGAGGAGAAAAAAATGTATACTGACCATTGGTCATCGTTCATCACTGTCACTTAATCCCTGATTTAAACTATATCTGGTGCTTTCATGAGCTAGCGCAAATTCTACGATCAGAGCTTTTCGCAATTAGTGCTGCTAACATTTTCAGCTTGGTGAGTCTTCAGTGTATTGGATATTTTTTACTAGTGTAATGGCAGGGAGAAAGCAACTTTCATTTCAAGATAAACTTAACGTTATTAAAGATATTGATGATGGAATGAAACAGATTGATGCAGCTAGAAAATACGGATTATCTCAATCTACAGTTGCAACGTTTCTAAAGAAAAGAAAACAGATCGAAGATACTGTAAGTTCAAATTTAATTAATCCAAAGCGTAAACGACTAAAAGTCGCAACTAATGAAAACATTGATGCTGCCGTCTTAAAATGGTTTCAAGAGATGAGAGCAACAAATATCCCGATAAATGGGCCCTTGTTATGCACACAAGCACGTAAATTCGCAGTAATGCTAGGGAACGAAACTTTTAAAGCTAGCAATGGTTGGCTAATGCGTTTTCGGGATCGACATGGAATAACTTTCCAGGAAGTTCACGGAGAGAAAAAATCTGCTCCGATTAACGAAGCAAATGAATGGAAGCAAGAGAAGATGACAGATATTCTTCAAAAGTATAAACCAGAGAACGTTTATAACGCAGATGAAGCTGGGCTGTTTTTTCAACTCCTTCCCGATCGAACATTGGCATTTAAGGGTGAAAAATGTTACGGCGGAAAAAAATCAAAGCAGAGATTGACTGTTCTTCTGTGTGCCAATAGCACAGGGACACACAAGATTCAACCTCTTGTTATCGGCAAATCATTGAAGCCGAGGTGTTTCAAGAATGTGAAAAGTCTTCCAGTGGAATATAAAGCCAATAAAAAAGCTTGGATGACTTCTAAGTTTTTTTCTGAATGGTTGTTGATGTTAGATAAAGAAATGAAAAAGAGGAAGAAAAAAATTGCTTTATTAATTGATAACTGCACCGCTCACACCTCAATTCCAAAACTACACAACGTCGAAATTGTTTATTTCCCGGCCAACTGCACTTCGATTTTGCAGCCACTCGACATGGGCATAATCAAGTGTTTCAAAGGATACTACAGGAAGCGTTTGGTTGAATCGATACTTGTCAACATCGAAAATAAAGTAGAAGATCCTTTTAAAACTGTGAATGTCAAGGAAGCATGTGATATTATTGCTGGTAGTTGGTGGGAGGTAACAGAAAAAACTATTCAAAATTGTTGGAAAAAGGCCGGTTTGTGTGTCTTGGAAGATGAAATTGTTTCTAATAGTGAAGAAAATTCCACAGACAGTGATCTTTCAGATAATCAAGAATTAGTTTTGAATCTTCAAAAATCTTTATCCCAACTTGAGGAAAAAATGGGTAAAACATATGGTGTTAACGTGGAGGACTATTTAACTGCGGATGACGATCTCACAATTTTCGCAGGAGTTAGTGATGAAGAGATTCTCTCTGAAATTACGGATGAAATGGAAAATAATGATGAGGAAGAAGATGGTGATGATGATCCATGTGTATCACAGTCCGTATTGTCACCCCATGAAGCTCTTCAATCCGTAAAATCTCTAAAGACATTTTTCTCAAGTCTTCCATTTACAAATGAAAATCATTTTCGGGCATTGGACTCTATGCATACTTTGTTGGTTGACTTAACAGTCAGAAAAATGAATAAACAAACAAAAATATCTGATTTTTTTCAATAAAAATGTTTTTTTAAGGTAAGTTTACAATCTTATGTTCTGTATTTATATCCATTGTTTTTAATGCTTAACCGTAATAAACACTTTGCAAATTAATTTTTTCGATAATATATAAATATATTTATAGTTAATGAATATATAACATTAAATTTCAAAAAATCTTATTGCGTCCCAGAATTATGTGGGCCCTCGATATAACAATATATCCCTCTACAACAATATTCTTATTTGGTCCGCAAAATATTGTTGTAGCGAGGTTTTACTGTATATTAAGTTTGGATATTGTGTAACACTCTGTGTGCATACAAATATGTATATTAAAAGTTTTCTTTGTTACAAAATGTTTTTATTGTTAATAGCTATGTATAGTGTAACAATATGATGAATACAATTCAATCGTTTGTGCGATATATTTTTTTTTACATGGACATTTCTGATTTATATAATAAAAAGACCATTCCACCCAGTATTGTACACATTTAATTTTTTAATACAGATTTCCTCCTGATCAATATCCAGTTTTGGCTTTCACGGGAGCTCCTGCCATATTCCCTGTTCAAGAAGAGAACAGAGAACTTCAAAAGTATTTGATCTGGAGTGATTTAATTCTTAGAGAGGCAAAAAGTTTCATCCAGTCTATGGAACCTAAAGGACCTTTTATTGGCATTCATCTGAGAAATGGACCTGATTGGGTATGTTGTTAATGCGGACTGAAAATTAAATTTAAATACAACAGAGCACTTATGATCTAGGTGGAACTGGAGGACTTAAAATCTGGACGACTTAAAATCTGGATCTAAATCTAAATAGTTTTATATTTTTAAATAGCAGTTACAAGCTAGGGTATTGTTTTTTATGTAACATTTTTTTCACACTTTTTCTAGGCTTTGATTATCAATTGTAGTGTTAATTTCAACATAATATGAATGGCTTTTGCATTTATTTTTTTATTTTACATTGCTTTTCGCTCTGTTCAAAACTGATGCTAAGGTTTAACTAAAATTGTTAATTTTATTATTTCTTTTAAATATCCAAAACCATCAAGTGCTTGTTTCCATTTTCACCTTTTTTAAAAAAAAAACATTTCAAGCCTTTCAATTTTTTGAGGTGTCATTAAAGCACAACTTTTTAGTACTTTCCAGACATTTTCTTTCAAAGTTCTTATTACACCTACGAAATCAATTAGAAAAATACTGTGTGTAGTCTAGCACACATTTCATAAGTAAATGAAATGAAAATAGCATTACTTTCTTCTTTAATTTTACGCAAGCACAAGCAGAAAGGTGACATAGGAACAAAAGAAGTGATTTTTCATCCCTATAATCTATAAATCTTCGTTTAACCGTTTCTATAAATCTCTCAAATATGTGGGAAATTTTTTAATTAAGTAAGAATCTTAAAACAGGTTTTGTTCTCTATCCTCTTGATTTATTTTGCAATAGTGCTATCTATTCTTTTACTAATTTTGTTTTTAATTTCATAGGTAAGAGCTTGTGAGCATATTGAACACAGCCCACTTTTGTTTGCTGCTCCTCAGTGCCTGGGATACAGAAATGAGCTTGGGAAAGCTACTCCCGAGTTATGTTTTCCAACTAAAGACATAATTTTGCAACAATTAAAAAAAGTTGTTAAGGCTCAGAAAGCTCGATCTGTATTTGTTGCTTCTGATAGTGATCACATGATAAAGGATATTGAGAAAGCTCTGAAAGTAAGTAAATATTAAATTTGTTTCCAAAATGTATGGAAATGGTCAAATATCTCAAGATATTATAAAGATATAATGTATACTTTTCAAAAATATACATTACATCAAAAGACTAAAATTACATGTGTCAAGTATTTTAAAACATCCGAATTAAGGCAAATTGCTCATTTAATCAGAGTACATGTTAAATCAGAGTACTTGTTAAATTATCAGAAATAAAAGCAGTGATGTACAAAAAGAACTAGAAAATGTTAAAAAATGGCATATATTTTAAAAACTTTTATTTGCACTGATTGGAATAATGTTTTTGTGATTGAACCTTAGTACAATTTGTGAAGCATAAAATACATTATCAGTAACACCTATTGATTTCAGAAAAGTTTTCATTTTTTCAGCGAATTCCATGTCATTTGACGTAGATGAGGGTGTTTTAATAGTTCCTTCTACAATCACTGTAAGCAACATACTTGCACATGAGTAACAATTAGTATAGAACCTATTCAGTGGTTTGCATAACATCTATTAATTATTATAATTATGTAATTCAGGACAAAAAATGTGAGGAACTTTGTGTTGCTTCATTTTATTGTTTATCTAAAATCAATTTTGAGCAAACTTTTTAAAATTTGTCTAGCAGTATTATAAAAGCAATCTTTTCATAACCTATTTAAAGTCTAGTTCACCTTTTAAATATATTGAAGTTTATGTTATTGTTTGAATAAACTTAAACTCATGAAGTATCAATAGTATGTTTATTTTGAATTTTAGCTATATTATGCAAAATTATTTTTGTTGCCTTGAAAAAAAAATATTCCAGTTCTTTGAATTTTTTATTTTATTTTAGGTGACAGCTTATAAACTTCCAGAATCCAAGCCACATGTTGATTTAGCTATACTTGGACTCTCAAATCATTTCATTGGAAACTGCATATCTTCATTTTCTGCTTTTGTAAAAAGAGAAAGAGATGTTGAGAAACTGCCATCTTCTTTTTGGGCTTTTCCTCTTCGACAACAAAAGGAAAAAAATTCAGATGAGGCTTCTGCGCATGACGAATTTTAAGTTTGGGTCATTTAAAACTTAATTTTGTTGATGATTTTTCAAATTGCAAATTTTTATCACTTTATAAGAGATTTAGATTAATTAAATGTAATTTCATTAATGATTTTTTTTTAAAAAAAGAAATTCCTTATAAGTAATAATCTAGTTTTTTAGTATTTTTGTTGCATATTTTGGATAAATTTGTATTTTTATTGCATATTTAAGCTGGCATGAATTGGTGATTTTATACTTCCATACAACTGAATAATATGGTTTTTCACCACATTATTCAAGAGAAATAAATGTACTGTTTTAAGATGAAAATTCCTGATAAGCATGTCTCTCAGGTGTCACTATTTCAGGTTGACACAGTTCTCACAACCCTGAAATAACCTAATGATTTTCTTTCATTTAAGTTAGACTTAGTTTTTAAAGATGTTTCAATTGTCCTAAAGTTTACTTATCCATTAAATTCTAAATTTTATCAATCAATTGTAGGGCAAAATTAAGAAATTTTGCTATTGGTCAATGACCAGTTGTCCCATTTTTAACAATGACTGCTTTTTACTTGAATAAAAAATATAAAAAAACTTTTGATATTAATTATGTAAGGCATTTCTTACCAAAATTTGGTAAACATGTGAAGGTTAATTTCGAAAGTGAAGAAAAAATTTCAAAAACAAGTATGAAGTTAAGTAATTTTCAGAGTATTATAAAATATTCATAATAAATTCATATTTTTTAAATAAAACTATTAATAATAAAATGCATAAGGCATGTAGTTTTGGCTAAAAAAAGGGGGTGGAAACTGACAGATAATTTTTTAAATTCTATTTGTTCTATTTAGTTGTCCTTTGGCCATTGGTGATTCTTAATTTTGCCCTATGCCATCCATCCATTAGTACAAACTTTCTCAGTGGCTAAAATTTCAGTAAGATATTGAATATCTTGCTGAAATATACTTTGAACAAATGTTTTACTGGAATATGAATCGGCTAAGTGTAGTTATAATGATAAATATAATCTAATTATAAATTCGACATTTTATTATTTTCAGTTATTTGATGTGCAAAAACGACTGTAGCGTTTTCAGTACCTTTATTCTACATCAAATGATATGAGATGGTATTAGTTTTATTTTGGTATTAGCTTATATAAAAACTAAATTAGTTAGTTTGAATTTAAATGTTTTTGTGATTTTAGCACTTATGTTATATTCCATTTTTGTAATGACATTTGATTATTTATAATTTTAACTGACATTTTTAATAATTGTTTGTAAAGATTTTGTAAGGATTTTTTTATGTTACATAATAATTTTGGAAAAAAAGTATAAATAGGGTAGAAATATCTGAACAGTTTTTTTACATGAAAAAAAAATTACTTTTAGTTTTTATAGCTGTTTCTCTTTGATTTTTTTTTGAAAAGAAAGCTCTCTGATAATACATAAGTGATATTTACATAATCTGCCTACAAAAGTGTAATACATTAATATGTGAAGAATTGCTTTGCATACATAAAATGTGAGTAAAGTTATTTTATTAACTATTTTCAAGTCTTCCAATTGCCTTGAGAATATGGAATCTAATCTATAGAACATACCTTAATATGAAATCTAAAACAATTAATATCTTTTTTCTCTTGAATAAAATAGACTAATTTCTAATTGGTTTAGGAATTGATGCACTTATATTTGTCCTTGTATAAGATATTTGAATTATTCTTGTTTTAAATTCGTAAAGGTTATTTATAAACGTAAAACTATGATTTCATAATCTTATTTTTAAACTATAATTTTAACAATGAAATGTTTGAAAATTTAATGAGGTCTTAGAATTTATGACTAAGGGCTTTTTTTTGTAGCTAATGACATTATAAGTTCTAATTTTTATATTTTTTTGTTAGAATTTAGGTGACAAATTTATTTACCTTTTATTTTTGTATGTCCTTTTTTGTGCACTTCTTCTTTATTAATATAATAAATTTTATTTTACTCTTTTGCAGTTAGTTACCTCAAATGCAAGCACGTGCCTTAAATGTATGTGATAAGCCACAAATTTAACAGCTTTAACATTGATCAAAGTTTATATTTAAAATTTAGTTTTTGTCAATATAAAGAACATGTTAATTTTTAGTAAAATAAATGCATTTGAATTATTAAGAAGCATTTTTTTTAGCTATTTACTGATTATAATTTGCGCCTATATGCGCTGGGTTGTATACTCATTTATAAATATTCCAGCGAATCATAAGAATAAATTGACTTGATCTAAGATCCCTGTTAAACTGCTGAAAGTAGATGCTATAGCATGAAATTGCTATATTGTGAGTGCAGGTAAATATCACAAATATTTACTCATAACTAATAAATACTGAACTAACTTTGACAAAACCATATGCAATAACCACTTTTGATTTTCAATTATGTAAAGGGATTTATGCTTCACAGCCTTTTTGACCGAAGGTCAAGTCTACAATCTTGTATGGTAGGAACTTAGGGTCATGTACCTTTAAAGGAAATTCAAGTTGTATCAGGTTTAATGTGTAAGAGCATTAAACCTGTGGTTTAAAAAATTTCTCGAAGCTTTCGTCTCCATGAAAGTGAAACTATTATTTTAAAGTTGTATTCAAAATTATTTTCTTGGATATGAAAAAAAAATTAAAGTTGTAATCGCTATACTGGAATTAATAGTTCTGATTAAATGCTATGATGAGTGTTAAAACAACATTGAATCTATGGAATAGCTAACCAGACTTTATGTATTAGCTATTATAGAATAGAAGAGTTGATGTAATGGATGCCTTACTAAAGAATGTAGACTTCATCACAAGATCAATATAAAAATCATAGATCTTAGAAAATCAATCTATCATTTCTCAATATGAAAATTATAGATTCAATTAAATTAAAAGTAGAAATTGCTTTTATTTTTTTTGAATCTATCTAAATCCTAAAACTGGCCTTGCATCAGAAAGGTTTTGGGTTCAAATCCAGGGCAAGGCACGGATGTTCTTTCATTCTCTGTGCTATCTGTCCTTACTGTAGGAGCAGCGTTGACCCACTTTTTTTTAATTTTCCTCTCAATGTTAGGCAAATGTGACATAGTTTCACCAAAAAGTCCTCCACAAAGCCTAGTTTGTCCCAATGCTTGATTTGGGAGTTGTCTTCTGGGTTGTGTTCAGTATTATAGGGCTACAGAGTTGAACATTGATAGTTATAATTTAAAAAAGGGATCAAATGTTTAATACCGGTTTTAAAATAAAACTTGGATGCTATTTTTAACTACTGTATTATAATATATGTGATTTTTTTATAATTATGATTATATATATAACGGGATTTATGTATAATTATGATTATATGTAGACGTTAATAGATAGTTTTAATTTTATCAAGTAACATGACAGTGACATAACTTGAAACAAGGTTTTGTTCTTGCAATATACTGAGATTTAAAAACGTTCCAAAATATTTTGCAAATGTAGAGTTATATTGCATCACAATTTACTATGTATATCAATCTGTTTAAATAATTTGTATAATTTTAAATATTGCATGATTAAAAATTTGAAATTAATTAAATTTCCATCATTAAATAGATGTAATTAAAAAATTTGTTTAAGGAATAGCAGATACATTTTACGTTTATGACATTTTAATCAAGTGTATTTTTTATTTTATGATTCAAGTTTTGTTTTTATTAAGTATTATCAATGACCAACACCATAATCTATTCATTTTTTAAATATATATCTGTGTACATATGTTAAAATCTGTGATTAATTTTATCTGTAATGTATCGTATTTTTTACCAGAATTTTTAAAATAAAATGTATTATAAAAAGATCTTTTAGTTTGATTCTGTTTGTGTGTGTGTTTTTTGTAAATATTTATGTGAAAGTTTAAATTAGGCTTTCTCAATCTATTTTAGTTGTACACAGAAATCAATCTAAAGATCGGGATCACAACCTAAAAATCTTTTCTTTATTAGGTTTTTTAAATTGGTTATTTTGGGGACGCACACTAGTTGCTGAAATCTATAATTAATAGGATTGAAAGCTAAATTTCTAAGCATAATGTAGCAAATGGTATGTTTCTACATCTTTCTTTTTTCTGTACTAGGTTTTTCAAATTGGTTATTTTTGGGACACATGCTAGTTGCTGAAATTTATAATTAATAGGATTGAAAGCTAAATTTCTAAGCATAATGTAGCAAATGGTATGTTTCTACATCTTTCTTTTTTCTTTACTAGGTTTTTCAAATTGGTTATTTCGGGACACACGCTAGTTGCTGAAATCCATAATTAATAGAATTGAAAGCTAAATTTCTAAGCATAATGTAGCAAATGGTATGTTTCTACATCTTTCTTTTTTCTTTACTAGGTTTTTCAAATTGGTTATTTTGGGACACACGCTAGTTGCTGAAATCTATAGTTAATAGGACTGAAATCTAAATTTAAATTTGTAACACTTTATAAAGATACAAAATTTTTTTTTGCCCAATTAAAACATTTTTAAGAGATTATTCATCACATGCTAAACTATTCGTCCTTTTGATGAAATAAAGTTTAGTTTTCAACTGCGCTGCTGTCTTAAGGATCTGCTTTGCTAACGATTGCTATTTTCTTAGTGTTTGTTTCTCGTGTAGTTGTCTAATGAATGAACATAAGATTTTATTATTATTTGTAGGTTTTGAGCATTATAATGATAAGCTTCATTTTTAAATTGTTTAGGAGTGCGCTTATGATGTTTCTCTATCATGTGCTGTTACATAGTAAAAATTTGGGACACTTAAATTGTACATATCTGAAAACAATATTAAGAGTAGTTTGGTTCAAAAATGTCACGTTTGGAAAAAGTGTGGTCTATAATTTTATGTTTCTTTAATTTGTATTTCAACACAAAGAAGAGCAATACTGCATAATTCCCTATTTTGCAGGGCGCTAAACATGAAAAATGGTAAAGGATTTAATTTGTATTTTATAAGAAGCCTTAACGATCTACTTTTCTAGATTCCAAAACCCAAGTTTGCAACTCATTCGTTTGCCACAGCTGGTTTACGTTTTAATTCACATATTTATTATATTGAAAACTTTTTTGTACCTGAAACTTATTTCAAACGATCTTAAAAAAAGTAAATTATATACTTTGTTTAAATAAATACAGCTGTTAGTTGCTACTCTTTATTAAATTTTAAGTAAGTGATTAATAATGTTTTATTTACTAGAAATGAAAATTATTCTAAGTATATGTTTGCAAAATCATCCAATACATTTTATTTACTTGAAGATGTTTTCAGCTTCATATCGAAGACTTACAACTAGTGCTAGTGAAGCTACTGCTGTCTTATGTGATAAGCATCCTCCTAAACATAAAATAGAAATAAAGACTAAAATTGTAACATGATATATTTGTCTTAAATTAAGAATGTAATAAATAAATAGTGGTAAATGCTATAGAGTACTGGGTACACTATACTGAAGAAATTAAGGAAATTTGATCGGAATAAATATTATGTTTACAGTGCAGGGTTTGCTGTAAAAGAATACCAGGATTAGTTTATAAACGCTCAGAAATAATTACGCTATTGAAATTTAGTCTAAGAATGTTAAGTTTTCCTCTGCTTATTAGATGAAATGAGAAACAGTATTAATACATAATAATGAGAAGAAACTTATATGAGAAGTTCCCTAATGATGGATTGGGTAAAATGGTCCAATTCCTATGCCTCCACAATGCTCCTATAATTTGCTTCTGGACTTCAATGTTTGGGGATACATTAAAAACATTGTATACAAGGCGCAAAGTAAAAAAAGAAAAAAGATGTCTCCTTACATACCTTGGTTCTAATAATCGGAATTTCCGAAAGTACGTAAAGGGTGATCTCAACTGTGCTAATTGCTAATTAACTAGCACTAACTATGAATTTTTTTTTAAGGATCGAAAAGATAATCAATAGTTATGTTTACAAATATTTACAACATTTTAAACAAGGTAATTTTAAATGACGAAATAAAATGTGAAAGCGTTTGGTCGAATAGTTCTTGAGAAATAGAATTTTAAAAATATGGCTTTTTTTGAAATTTTGTAACTCAAAAATAATTCAACCCATTTCGCTCATTTTTTTTTATCATTTAAAATTACCTGGTTCAAGAATGGTGTAAAAAGTTTTATACTCACAATTCAGTATTTTGTAGAAAAAATATAATATAATAAGATATATTTTTTTTACATGGAATTATCTTAAAACGAATTTTATAATGGTGTGCAAAAGTTTTTTTAATTCGCTTTAAAACTGATATGGCTTATTACATAGAAAGTGAAATCAACATAAAGGGGCTTAAACTTTTGATAACTTTCCTAAAGCAAAGCATTCCGAAAGCATTGTTAACTAAGGTTATAAATTTACAGCATTACCTTTGATAACTAAAAATTAATCCTGTTAATTATACAAACCCTGTTTTAAAGTAGTTGCGTAGGGCAGTGGCGGATCCAGCGGGCAAGATGTTGCTGAACAATTAAATGTAGAGCTGCGACCAAAACGTTTAGTTTCTCGACAAACACAAAGTAATAATAATCAGCCAAACCAGACCCCAGAAGAATATTTTCGGAAGGCTATTTATATTCCTGTATTAGATAATATTTTAACAGATTTAAAGGACAAACTTTCCCCAGATGTGATGAAACTTTTTAATTTACGAGTTTTTTTTACCACGGCAACCTGTTCTGTTACAGAAGAAGATCTTATAGCCGTTCGTGAAACTGCCGAGTTTTATAAGAATCTCTTAAATGCTTCCGTAAAAGTTGTCGAAACAGAATTTCGTCTTTGGGTGGCAGTAATGGCAGCGTGAAACAGAAGCAGGACTTGAAGTGCCCAACGATCTTTCCAAGATTATTAATGCCTGTGACATCGATTTGTGCCCATCACTCAATATGTTGTTGAGAATTTTAATAACTCTGCCAGTTAGTGTAGCAACAACAGAACGTTCCTTTTCAACTCTTCGATCTCTCAAAACTTGGCTTAGAGTAACTCAAAATCAAGAACGATTAAATGGACTCGCGTTATTAAACATTCATCGAGAAATTGATTTGGATGTATTATTTATGTATTGTTCTATTGTTCATTAAGAAAAAATGAATGAGAAGACTAGCATTAAAAACCCGTTTTTTTTTCAAAGAAAAATATATAAAAAGAAATTTTTTTTTTTTATGAAAAAAATTATTTGTTGCGGGGGGGGGATCTGAATCTATGACCCCCCCCCCCAGGAAAATTTCTGGGTCCATCCCTGGCGCAGAATAACAGTTCAACCTCCAGATAACAATCAAATCGCTAATTGAACAATCAAAAAGTTTCGTTCGCTCCTGACAAATTGCGGAAAAAGAGTGTTACGACTAGTTTTGGATTTTTGCTTGTATCTATGGATAGAATTGAGTAAAATTTTAAAATTTAGTACTCTCAGATAGCATAAAATAATACTCTATAACTTTTTTTTATCTATTATTTTTATTTGAAGAGACAGTTTTGGATCACGGGTATGAACATGAGCGTAACGGTGTTTTACAGCCGAAGCAGGAAAATTTACTCGTTTTTGACTGCCGATTCTGATCAAACTGATCAAATTTAATGCATAAAGATATTATTCAAAATGGAATTTAATGCTCCTTAATTTTGGTGCTTGCTAAAATATGTGTACGATGCATTATTTAGATGTTATAAGGCAAAAATTGAAAAATGTCTAAACTTTCGCAGTTTTTTGGCTCACAATAATTTAGCTCACATCAAAAACCGTCTCCAACTCATACTATTCTTATTTGAGACGATTTAAGTTTAATTGAGGCCGAGTGGTTAGCGTGCCTGACTGCGGAGCCGATGGTTGCGGGTTCGAATCCCGCTCAGGGCATAGATGTTTCTTTCTCTCTGTCCTTTCTCCTTTGTGTGAATGTGACCAGCCCTATAAACGGGTTTGTGGTTGTGTGACGTGGGCGACGCTGCTCCACCGCTGTGGCTTCGTCACAAGTGCTCACTGGGTAACGTAGCAGTTCTGGCACTCCTGGCCAATGGGACAATACATCCCAAGTGCCTGCCATTAAAAAAAAGTTTAATTGAATCATTTCTATCTAAGTTTAATCCAATCATTAAATTGAATCAAGCTTTCTGGGAACTTTGACTGGTTTACTTCAGTAAGGGGGGATATAAGTTTGTTCCCATACGTTTGTATCAGAAAAAGTTTAAACTGTGGTTTATAGTTTTACATAAATATTTTTATAAAATATTATCTTTGTGGTTCTAATATTTTTATAAAATATTTTCAAAATAATATCTTACCTTCCAATATCTTTTCTCTTCTCTTCTTTCTTGTTTTCGAGTCTGGAACTAGGTGATCTGCAGAGCAAAAAGAAATTTTAATAAGCACTATCAGTTACCATCAAATTGCAAGATTCGTAGTTGACCTCATTTTTCTGTAAAAATTGCTTTGTCCTTATTTGTTCCAATATTTAGCGCTTTTTGACGTGATGTTAATGAGTGATTAGAACATTTTTTCAAAAAAATGAAAATGCGGATTTAAAAATAATTGATTTAAAGAATAGAAAGACAAGGATTTTCGATCCAACATCTTTTTATTTTAATCGTCATCGCGGCAATGACGCGCCTTTGTCCCCCCCCCTTTGTGCTTAGAGTTCTTCCGCAGCACTAAAATTGAAACAAAACGCAAATTCACTTAAAATTTGTTTATTTTACTTTAAAATATAATAATCAATTGCAAACAATAACCGCATTCACTAATACCACAATAAAGCACATAGAGTATTCCTGGAAGACGAATTATCTCGTCCGTCGCGATGGAAAAGTTAACAATGCTAATAAAAATCCAAAATTCGATAGGGCCCCTATCGAATTTTGAATTTTTATTAATCTTTGGATTGCCCATTAATCTATACATGATGCATGCATATGGCCTTTCCCGCAGGATTCATTGTTTCAAACTTATTCAGATTTTAGTCATTTTATGAAAAAGAAACTCAATTAAAAATTATACGATATCAATTTTAGGTGATGAATTCAAGATTTATACGTTTATTTATTATTTTCAGCAAGTGCAGTAGCATATCTTGTAAAGCTACAGAGTTTCACTATTATTCATTTTTATCTTTCATCTGATTTTAAGAATGACCTATTACAATTTACAATACAGTCGATTTTACAATACAGTATAATAAAAGTTTTAAATGCGGAATTGAAGGAATTACCCACTGAATTACGTCTATACTAAAGTTAAGGGGTGTTTTCGTTTTGAGATTATTGAAAACTCTGCTTCAAAAATATCAGATTAAATAAGTATTGAACTCTATTATAAATTTTTAACTATTATATATTAAATTATTTATACTATTTTCACGAAGAATCAAAATTTTTTATGTAATGATTTCAAAATATTGGGCTTTGTTCTGTGCTCCATTAATAAAATTATGCTGGAACTGTTAAAACTTCCTGTTCTAAACAATGTTGTTGTTACTAATGACACTAGCCAATATCAGCAAACCTGCTTGGTAAATTAAGTGAATTTTTAAGGCAGAATGTGATTTTTTTTTAAAATTTAAGTGACGCCATCTATGGCCAAGAATATGAATTTAGTCACATACACGTTACAGCCCATTTTACAGGGAGGACCCACTCATACTCCATTAATTCATCCACTGATCGTAATTTCGACCTGAACCAGAAAATGGACAATCTCCACTTCAGCACTCCTAGAGGTATTGATTTGTTATGGAAACGTGGAGGAGTTAGTGACTCCTACTGATTTAACGTGCACCAGTCACCCTTTCTTCGGAACACGAAATTCGAATTTGCGTTCTCACGAACACGAGCCCAATGTCCTACCAACCAGGCCGTCCCTGTCCTAAGCAATGTAATTCCGAAAAAAAAAAATAGTATATGAGAGCATGGGTTGCAATCCACTAACCATCGGTCTAACCGTAGGCGGTTTTTGTGGTTTTCCTCTCCATGTAATGCAAAAATGAGTTTGTTTCACCGAAAAGTCCCCCACAAAGGCTAGTTTGCCCCAATGCTTTATCCAGGAGTTCCCATGTCTTCTGGTTTGGGTTCAAACTTACAAGGCTATGAAGTTGAACATCAAAAAACGTAAGCTCAGAATTAGGTCGGCTGTTCAACGTCTATAATAAAACAAAATAAGAAAAGCATATTGCAAAATTTAGGGTAAAGAGTTGATGCCATTTGACGAAATGGTATCTTCGGATTGAATAAATCTTGAGCTAAAATTTTTGAATACCTTTATAAGTTCTATAGTTTAGGGCCTTTCACAAATGAAGTCACACATTTTTTTAATATTTTTTATCCCCTCTTCCCTTTTGCAACAAAATGTCACACTTAACCACACCTTCTCTTGCCGCATGAACAATACTTGCAGTTCAAGAACCAAGCACTGCACAAAAGATCATATTTGAAATTTCAATTTCTGAACTTTGGGTGTTTAAGTGACATTTATGAATGCGACAAAAATAATTATTATATGTGTATTTTGCTGATTCTAAGCATTTTTATTCTAACCAAAATGTGTGATGTCACACTTCTTCTTACTGCCTCTCTCCCCTGCAAGCGTGATATTATTTTTGAGCGATCTCTTAGTATTAAAGTTTATGCACTGATATTTTAACATTTCTTACCTGTACAATGCCATTTTGCCCGATGAGCAAAGCATCCAGATTGTAGTTGCCAATTGAGTATCTCATCTAACCAATTAGGTTTATAAAAATCTTTAAATCCCCACATGCCGCACAAACCAACTGAAATGTAACAACACATGAATACATAGTTATTTTGGTTAGCATTTTTCTTTTTGTTATTTTAAACAAGTGTTTAATATCTTCATTCATGAAATATGAATACAAAAACATCATTCTCAAAATTAGTAATAAGATTTTTTTGGGAAAAAAAACATAAAAACAGAATATACTTGGCAAAATAGAGTAAATAAAATACACTATATGGAGAAAAGTATCAGAACAACCACTTAAGCCATCATGGTGCGTGGGTGTTTGAATGGTTTGGTCTGGGTACCTTAAACACTGTTTACACAAGGACAAAAAAAAGGCATTTGAAAGAAGACTTCTAACGTCACTACCTTGAAAAAAAAAGCTTTTAAAATTTACTTGATCTAAGGAACTCTTGATCTACAAAACTCCACCTTACAAGGATTTTATTTTATTTTATTTTTATAACCGTCGTTCAACAGCCTACCCAATTTTTGGGTTTACGACTACTAATGTTCAACTCCGCAGCCTTTTGATCCCAATCCGGAAGACAAGGGAACTCTCGGATCAAGTATTGGGAGAAATTTGCCTTCGTGGAGGACTTTTTGATGGAGCCTACCCGCATTTGCGTTACATGGAGAGGAAGACCACGAGAACCTCCCACGATTAGCCTGACGGCAAAGGGACTTTTTTTTTCTTTCCTCCAAGCCCTGAGCATGTACCTAGGTTATGAAAACCCTTAACTTCATNGAATTATTCCATTGAAATTGCCATTTTGTTAGAAGAGAATCTTTAATACGTCGTTTAAGATATGAAACTGGAAGTGGGTATACATAATTTTTCGGTTGTCTCGTAGATTGTTTAGCTAAATCATCTGCTTTTTCATTACCTACTCTATTGCTGTGTGCTTTAAACGGCAAAGGGACTCTAACCTATGATCCGTCTACCACTGAGGATATTTCACGTCAGCACTGTGGTCGGTGCAAGCCGGATGCGGATTTCGTATAGACCGGCCATCGCCGGGATCGAACCCCGGTTCACCTCAAACCTGACAAGGATTGGAAAAAAATAACCACGAGATGAAAAGAGTCAAATATCACGATTCTGAATTCCGGTCCAATTCTGAAGTTGTCTTCGACTAGAAAGCAGGCTATGAAAATCAGGTTTTCAATGCTCTTTTGACTTCACGCACCTAAAGTTAGGCCTTGCGTAAATTTGGAGTTTGTTCCCGCGGTTGGAAACGTGAATTCTGAGGGCATTCTGAACGAGGCAGGCTGCTCTCCCAATTCTATGGAAATATTTTGGGAAGCCTGTTTCTCTCCCTGCAGGATACTTGCTCCTCTGTTTCCATTTACACATCAAGACATGCGCGGCCATGGTTTGACAAAATGAGTGGACTGGACTGGTCTTCTCAGAGCTCTGTTCTGAGACTAATAGAACACTTTTATGGCGAATTAGAACGCAGATTATGTAACCAGTAAAATTGACCATCCTATTACTAGAAGCACTCAATTAAGCCTTGATGGATGCTTAGAAGTCAATTCACATTGCCACCTATCAAAAACTGGTGAAAACTCTCCCCGACCTTCTCAGAGCCCTGTTCTGTGACTCATAGAACACTTTTATTACGAATTAGAACGCAGATTATGTAACCAGTAAAATTGACCATCCTTACTAGCAGCACTTAATTGTGCCGTTATGGATGCTTGGAAGTCATTTCATATTGCCACCTATCAAAAACTGGTGAAAAATCTCCCAGACGTGTGCAGGCTGTCATAGATATATGATATTAGTATATGAATAAAGACTCTCCGATTCCTTACCACTAAGTACCAGCTCTTAGCCAGATGTGTAACTTGAAAAAAATAAAGTTACTTCTAAGCTGAGAGTTATGATTCCTTCTTTATGCTAGTCAGCGTTGATGGTAGAGGCTTTTTTCCCAATGAAAACAAAATATTTTATGCAGACGAGGTTCATCCAGAAAGTAAAGAACATTTTGAAAAAAGACATATCTGTAACGAGGGACCATTGCTTCATATTCGATGTTGTATTTTTTTAAAAAAGGACTTCATCATTTACGAACTGCTTTCCCCCCCAAAATGCCTGTAGTTTCGATAATAAATGAAGATCAATTATCTCTTTGTCTTCCACTCGGGCTATGAGATTTTCTCACATTTCTCCAAAAAATATGCGTGTAAATATCAACAAAGAAGATTTTTTTTAAATTAAATTATTTTACTTACTTTGTTCCATGAGAAGATCTTGGTGATTGAGGGGGAAATGAGCATTTTCTATTTCTAATGCATCTCTGTACACATTCGAGCATAGGTAGACCATGAGATTTGAAGAAGCAGTTTTTGAACAATTTTTCTGGAAAATAATTAAATTACGTAAGAAAAATTTGTTTAATAAATAAACTCAAAAACAATATTTTTTAAAGTTGTTTATAAAGCTGATACATTTAAAATCGATTTTTTTTAAAAAATTATTTTTACTGGTTTAAACAAACTTACCATAGTCAAAAACTGCCAAAATAAAACTTGATGTGTTAAGACATAACCTCTTTGTCTTGGAGCTCTGTTTAAAGACTCGCAAGTTTCAGTTACAACGCAAGCATTCTTGTTTTCGCTTCTGTAAGAATAATATTTATTTAAGGCATTAATGTTAAAATGCAAGAGGTGTTACAAAACTACTGATCGTCACAACAGTATAGGATAATATAATTTTTCAAAACAAGCAATTTTCAAATACAAAATGGGGTCTGAAAGCAAAGAACAAGCAGAGAGAAAATGTCTGCTTGAGCAAAATGGCGGATGCAAATAAAGATGAATAAAAAGGCTTAAGAATTTTTATTATTGAAAATGTTTCAAAAAAGGCTCAAATAAGCGACCTCTTAGCACAAATACTGCTTTTACATCGCGGTCAGAATGAATCACGCAAAAGTTTCGAAATTCCTGGTATTTTTTAATATCTCTAGTTGTGACGGTAATTCAATCGGGCAGCGTCGGAATGGAATTCTTAATCATTCCGCACCGGAAAATTCCGTGCGAAATCAAGAGTACGTAATATGCCAAATTGGCATTTACTGAATTATAACGTCACGATAGCGACATTCTGATCGGAATTAGATTTCGTGAAGCTGGCAATAGAGCCCTACTGGTTTAAAATCTTTCCGAATAAAGCTTTTTGTGATTGTCGTATGCAGTTCTAAATAAAGTGGTTTCCATTTTCGACGACTTAAGACTCCAAAATATTCAAACTATTACTTTAACTTTCGCTTTGAAATTAAATTTTTTAACAGGAAAATATTAAGCTCATGCAACATATGTCAAGAAAATAAAACATGATTTCATGACTGTATGTAATTCTCTAAAATAAGTAAATCAATTTTCGTAAATGAAACGATATGGTATGGATACCTATTTTTAGCCCTGCTACTAATAATCTCTCTCAATCGACAATTTCATTATTAATTTTAGAATTATTATAGACCTCTTTTTAGTCCTGTTGCAAAGTTTCCCTCAAATTATTTTTTTCCTTTGTATTTACATTTAAATTGATAAAAAAACGAGTTGTAAAATATCATTAAATATTAAGAAATTTTTTTAGCCCAGCTAGATATCAACATTTAGTCCAGAACTTTTTTTCGTTAGTTGCCATTCCAGTGATTTAGCATTATTAAGTTAATGATTATTAGATATTACTTTTTATCCTGCAATTAATTTTTCCTCTGAATTAGCTCCGAAAAGATTAATTTATTTGTTTTTACAATTCCCATTTTTTTATTCTTCTGCTTTAGTGCATACAAAATTTTCATGTGTTTTATCATTTGCTACCCTTCCTAATAACTTTACACTATCAGATTTATTAACAGATATTTTAGATGGGTATCTATCATTAACAAACAAATATTTACACGTAGATTTTTCGGTTCTACATGTGCAAAGAGTTTTACCCTGAACCAAGTATTTGGTTTAAGCAATGATAGCTGTTATTTTTGCTGTTGAACTTTATACTATCAGATTTATTAACAGATATTTCAGAAGGATATCTATCATTAACAAATAAACGTTTACACATAGAATTTTCGATGCTACATGTGCAAAGACTTTTACCCTGAGCCAAGTATTTGGTTGAAGCAATGATCGCTGTTATTTTCGTTGAAGACAGAGGCGGAGCAGGGAACAGGAGACACCATGAAATCATTGTTGATTCTTCTAGTTGGATACCAAAGTAATCGTTCATGACGATACATCATTCGTCCAACGCCTGTAATTGAAGAGAAGAATGTTACATAATATGATACAGTATTGCATAAGTTGACCAGTATCGGTGCATTGCTTTAGTGGTCAACTTAGTCATCAGATGGTTAACTTAAGGGGTATAATCATTGGTTTTTTATGAAATTATTTCTTAAATCGAATTTTTCGTATGCATGATGTTATTAATATTGTTTAGGTTATTCATATATTTCCTATGAGGGCCGTGGTAGCTTAGTGATTAAAGAATCAGACTCCAGTCCAGAGAGGCCGTGGTTCGATCCTCGCAACTCCGCAGAGACCCACCGATTCCATATACGCTTTCGTCAAATTTGTGAAATCGAAAGTTCTGTGGTGTGCCGCTGAGGAGTACCATCGGTTCAGGGATCTGGAAAAAATTTCCATCCCTTTCAGATCTATGTTTAAATTGAAGAAATGGCTTCAGGAAGGAGTAGTGCTGCCGTCTATCCAAGTAGATTTGAGTTAGGACCTACTTCTGCTCTTGCTATCTAGTTAAACGGTGCTCTCTAGTTAAACAAAAGGCGCACCTTTAGGACTTAATTCGCAAAAGGTCTATGGTTTGTTTAGCTTGTCCAAGTGTCATTAGAAACGACAAACATATATTTTTTATACAATACGAATCAAAATGAAATAAACAAGATCCGCTCTATCCGATCTATCATTAAAAAGTGGTAACTGATAAAGATAAAACCATAGTTAAACTTTCTTATTTTTACAACTATTTTAGTTTTTAAAATTCAATATGAGTTTCTTTCAATAAACAATGAGTTATTGTTGAGAGAAAATATCACAGTTTCTGAGAAAATAGTTGAATGATAATACGCTTTTTGTTGCCACTTCATCGGTTTTAACGTCACAAACTGTTATAAAGAACTTCATCACGCGCTGGCGCAGGATCGGCAGTGAAAGTGTTACTTAAATTTCTTTACTTGACTTTAAAATTTTAAGTAGTTAATACTCGATACAGGCAGCAAGGCTTAATGGTTAAAGCAGAGCCTAGGCTCTGGTTATAGAATGCTCGTCTTTCAATGAGGTGAACCGGGTTAGAATCCCAGCGACGGCTGGTCGATACGAATTCCGCACCTGGCTCGCACCGACCGCAGTACTGACGTAAAATATCCTCAGTTTTAGATGGAGCATGGGTTAAAGTTTCCTTGCCATTAGGTTAACCATAAGAGGTTTTCGTAGTTTTCGTCTCAATATAACACAAATGAGGCTTAGTTCCATCAAAAAATCCTCCAAGAAGGCAAATTTCTCTCAATATTTTATCCAGGAGTTCTATTGTTTTCTGGATTGAGTTCAATCTAGGTAGTTGTAAGCCCAAAAAATTGGGTTGGTTCTTCAACGACGGCTATAAAATAAAAATAAAATGTTTAAGGCTTTGAACTGTCATTGTGAAGAGCTAGGGTTTGATCCTCAGTAGGGGCTTGAAGCCCATTCAGCTTCTGAGCGTTGTGTACCAGCTTGTATGGAAAGCTAATGTAGTCTGTGTGCTATGTTGAGTACAGTGCCGCAATTATGATGTTGGTCACCAAATTGTGGAACCTTAACCTCCATGACCCTCCCCGGTTCATAACTGGTTGATGCGGGAATCCTTTACTTTATTTAATACTTTTTTAATGCTCAGAGTAGAGAAATTAACAAGTAGAATGAAGTATAATTTATGTTATAAATTTAAGGTGATTAGTTTTAAAAATCAAATATGCATATTTCGTTATTGATGCACATCATTTATTTACTATAAATATTTTCTTAAATTGCGGTTGAGGGCCGAAAACAGATTTATCGAATTGTCCAATTATTCGGATCGTTGAAGGATTATGCGTTTTTCTAATCTTCTTCAAGCAAAAGGTTTGTTTTCTACGAAAATGCTTCTCTGTTTTCAAAATATGTGTAAGGGGTCAAAATAATGACTTCTTTTATACTTTGGTGATCTTAAGAAAGAGACTCATATTCCTTCCGCCTAGTTTCAATTTTGGTTAGTAGTTTCGAATAATGTTTCTAATAAAATTAAAATTTTTAAGTACGCCATTTGTAATATACCATAATAGGTACTACTACAATAGCCAATCCTAAGCCTGGAAAAAGTGTGAAGGGTAGTTACATAGAAACATTCTTATATCCGTTTTTTTAAATTTGTCCAATTATTCGGATTTTTCGCTATCTGAATCGGCCGTGGCCCCAATTGGATAATCGGAGCTCTACTGTATGTGTACACAAGCACAAGAACATAATGTGGATTTAGAAAACTTAATGTTACTATTCATTCCATGTTTTAAAATTAATTTTGTATTTTTGTCTCACTTACAAAACTATTTTTTAGAAGAGTCTTTAATAGTTTTCTTTTATGGTCAACTGACAAAGGAGTTTAGGTTAAGCTTTTAATAATGTTTCCCCACTGTAAAATTCTTATACTTAACAACAAAAAAAATTGTTGAAAAATATTTTTCCTGGTTAACTTATAACTTGTCTTTCCAACTGGTTACGGCATTGAATAACATTTCTAAACAAATTCGACTAATTTTAGTGGTCAGATTACAAAGGTTTCACAGATTTGACTTATTTTAGTGATCACATTACAAAGGTTTCACAGATTTGACTTATTTTAGTGATTAGATTACAAAGGTTTCACCGATTTGACTTATTTTAGTGATCAGATTACAAAGGTTTCACAGATTTGACTTATTTTAGTGGTCAGATTACAAAGATTTCACAGATTTGACTTATTTTAGTGGTCAGATTACAAAGGTTTCACAGATTTGACTTATTTTAGTGGTCATATTACAAAGATTTCACCAATTTGATTTTGATCAGATTACAAAGGTTTCACCGATTTGACTTATTTTAGTGGTCAGATTATAAAGGTTTCACTGCTTTTATTTACAAAGGATAAGCTCAGTTTTTGGTAAGAGAGGTCAAATTAGACAGACTAGTCAACTTGACAGGTTCAACTGTGTTCAATGAATAAAATTTCTATTATATTATTTGGGTTAAGGAATGAGCTTTGGTGGTACCCTGATTAGGTCATTGAACTGTCTTAGTGAAAGAGAAGAAAAGAGTATAGAAGAATAGAAGGAAAAGAGTAGAACAGTAAAAGATCGGAAATAAGACACTGGCCCACAAAGAGTTATCGAGTCAATAAGAAAGAAGAAATATATTTTACAACTGCTGGGTCCAAATTTACAAGGCTGTGAAGTTTAACCTTAGTAGTCACAAATCCGATATGAATTTGTTGTTTAACGCCGTCTATAAAATGGAATAAATAAAGAACAAGTGGATGAAGGTTCTAACTGACATTTTAGTGAGTTTTAGTAAAATTAACTTTAAAGTTTATAAATTACCAATAGGAAATAAATATTATGCTTAACCATTATTTCTTGTCCATAGGCTTTCAATTAGGGAATTTGATAAATTCTTGATACTCATATAAACTGTTCGGGTCATAGCGTTCGTTCTTCCATTTTAAAAGACTCACAGATTTTAACGTCAAATTCTGCTTTCGGCTTGCACCGACCACAGCGCTAACGTAAAATATACCTAGAGATAGAGTATCATAGGTACAAATTTCCTTGTCATCGGGCTAACCCGGGGAGATTTTCGTGATTCAGCTCTTCATGTAAAGTAGATGTGGGTAAGTTTAATCAAAACGTCCACTGCGAAAGCTAATATGATCCAAAGCTTGATCCACGAGTTTCCTTGTCTTCTAGATAGGATTCAAAATTACAAGGTTACGCAGTTGTAGCCATTGATTTAAATTTGGGTCATCGCCCGTTATAAAATAAAAAAATTGTACTTAGCAGAAAAAATTTATATAATGTTTGCAAAACATAAAGAATTTGCAAAAACTAATATTGTAAGGTTGAATTAGGTTAAAATAAAATCTTTCCTACCAAAAATCAGAATTTGTTCAGGAAAATAATAGAGAATCTTTTTTATCAAAACAAACTTTATAAATGTAGTAGTTATTCAATTGTTTATTAGTAGAACGATTTATTACTTACTTTCGGCGTATTCTTTGTCATTCTCATACACAAATACTTGCCCTTCATTGGCGATATTTGACGCTAGATCTCGCAATACATTCAATTGAGGACGAATCAATTTAAAAATGTGTGGTTCAAATTCCAGGTACGCTTCCAATTGTTCTAAAATAGTAGAAAAGGTATCATTATCGTCACATTAAAGTCCTTCAACTTCTATTTCAAAAGCATACGGTCATTGTTTAATTGCATGAAAAGTTGCCTCAAATATAAAATGTTTTGTTAGTTTATGTTATGTAATGTTTAATGATGTTTATTTATCTAATATATGTTACAGAGAGCGCCATAGAGACTTCAAGTTAGCTGCATACAATTATAAAACTCATTTATCCAAAGATAATTTCTAGGCAATGTTTTCATTTTTCATATTTTGAAGTATTAATTTATTGAGTAATTGAGTAGTAATTGATGAATTTTTTTAAAATTTTGAATTTTGCTATTTGATATATATATAT